ATATGAAGGCTACGTGGCTTAGGCACAAAAGTAATGTACTCGGAAACTTCATTTTTCACGCCTTGAGGTATGTCCACTTTAATGGAGGAACGTCTACGAGTAATTCTAGCATCTTCTGTTTCGGTTTGCTCAAGGGAAAGGACCTCCGACGGAGCCTGCTGATCCAGACGTAGCGCATTGTTCTGTTTAATGATAACTACGACATCTCCGTCGGCTTTATGGATCATTTTTTCAATTCGAGCCACAAACTGCTTCGTGTTGGTTTCGATAACTGTCGAAGTAGTTTTATCCTCTGGTATATCCCACGAAGAAACTAAATGACTAGAAACAATTTCAAAAACAGGATAATCTCGAGAAGAAAGACTTAATGAAATGCCACGTTTGGTTGGCCTCTGAACCCAAATTATATCTAATAATTGCTGAAAGTCCGGTTTATCTATATCATCTGAAGCTTTCTCTGTACGGTACACTCGTATGTTAGTATTATCTACAAGTCTGACGTGTGCTTCGCTTACCACGATCTTTTCTTGTTTGTGTTCGGGTTTGGACATTACTTTCGAAAGTACCCTTATAGACTTATCTGGATTTACCTCAACAACGGAGTGCGTATCAACGCGTTTATCCTTCACTACTTTCTGAGAGCTACACGTAATCTGACGAGGCTCATCGAAACTAACAGGCAAAAAGGGTGTGTGATCAATTTGTGAAATTCCTGTAAGAGATGTTGGTTTGAATTCTGGGTTGGGCGTAAAAAGTATCTCTTCGATAATCGTTTCCTCGTTGAGTAGACCCTTCTCAGTAACTGTTCGTTTACTTATTGTTCCTTGCGGTGTCTCAAACGCTTCCTCTCTGACGTCGACCAGATGCTCAGTTATCTCCTGCGCGTCAAATAGTACGGGTTTGAACGTTGCAATACGCTTCAGAGCCTCCTGGACTTCCGCATCGTTGACGGTCGGCGCAGCAGTGTGCGGTTCTGCCACTAAAGGATCAAACGCTTTTAAGGGCACGCCTTTTACGAGATATCGATTGAATAAATTTATATACTGGCTTATGAGCCCCCACGCAGATATAACAGATGCGGCAGTTTTGAGAGAGAAGCTTGTACAATTTTAAGGCCCAGCCGAAGCACTTTCAGTTCTGAATGGCAAAGAGCCGAAAGTTTGCTGAAGTGCGAAAAGCACCAGTGCAGAAGCAAGTTTATGATAACGCACATGGCAGAGTGATTCATGGTAATGTGGAAGCAAGAGAAAGATATTGGAAGCCTACCTGAACAATGCAATTTATTCATTTTTTTGTTTGGTACGCTACGATGGCCAAGTACGTGAACTCGAGGGCTTTAGCTAAGCGGCACTTGATCCAGGATTTAAGCACAGATATTTGATATAACGCTGAATAGCAGATGTAGAGACACCCATAGAACGTTCAGCGTAGCGGTCTTTTATAATTAAATAGCAGTTTATAACGAAACCACAGCAGATACTGTTGAGTGACCGTCCTCAACTAGAGGTAACAATTATAGTAAGAGCAATAAATAGCGTTAATGTGCAGAATATACTTTACAGTTAATACATTATAGTTAACGATTTTCGACTCGAGACGGTGCTAAGGCAAAGCAAAGGGAGCTATAGATTGCAAATTGTAGGTATACTGTCAAAGCCAATATGTAGCAAATTATAGCGTGCAATGATCGTCATTTGGAACCATCGAATAGCCAAGAGCCGCAGGCTCACATAAACACGTAATATATATAAAAACATCGATATAAACATATTTCACATGTAAACCTAGGCATTAACGCGTATGTACATAATTAGTCATGAGGAAGCGACATGCGACGCCTCAAGCCAAAGCCGTTTAGGTGTCGAAAGCTGCCTGATCTCTAGTTTCTAATAGAAGAAAAGCTTTAAAGCGGTATAAAGTGTACTCACCTTAGGGGGCGAAGTCCGAAGCAAAGCAAAGCAAAAGCACAGAAGAAGCGATAACACCGACGTGAAGCAAACAAAAATTCTAAACTGTAGAAACATCATCTCAGCTTGTAATGACAAAAAGCGTAGATAAATAGCACACTTATTATATAAGTGCTCGCTACCGCCAGAGGCAAGCGGACTAAAGCACCAACCATCTCTCTTTAGTTGGTATGATTTGTGTCAGCAACACGGATGCCGAACAAACAGAACAGAGACACCAATCGCGAAACGGTATGCTTGAAGCTGTTCACGTTATGGAGCCTACGCGAAATCAGCTGAATTTGTGTGAAGCATCAGTTACGATTTGCAAAACCATTGCAAAAACATATGCAGGAAAAGACATTGATGAGGCTCGGAACAAGGCCGCGTCTACAGAAGGACAGCCGTCAGCAGGACGACCGTTTTGCAACATCCCGACAAAAGCGCTCACGAAACACAAAAACATAGCGTTAGTCCTTAGCAGCGATGGCAGCAGAACGGCAGCTGGGGTTTCGATCACCCACGAACGAGCTGTCGACTGCAAAGCTAGGAACCCACGCTTAGCACCACTCATTTAAACTTTGACAAAAAGCAGCGTCAATAACATGGGCAATCGGTTGTATAAAAGCATTATGAGGCAGTACTACTGAACGGTATACGGTATGCAACAATACGAAGGATGAGGCGATGCACCGTTGTTGAGACAACGAAAATAGGAAAACTACTTATTTTTCCTATTCCAAAGTAAAGCTATTTATACGAATTCTAGACGAAGTAGACAAGATCTAGTGAACCAATTCAGTAGGTGAAGATCATAAAAAGTTGCCTCGGTACAGTTTCAACAAGTTAACTTATTGGCTTAAAGTTTCATGGGCGTTCGACGTGGGCATCGTTGATACACACACACACCCACCCACCCACCCACACATTGTATCTTATGTAGGTCGAGTTCTTCCAATCGATTTGTACTAATTTAACTATTTAATCCATACATATGGACTACGATAGCTCGCTAGATCCCAGGATCGTCCAGGATTTTCTAGAAATAAAAATTTTAACTATAACCGCATAATGGGCAGATGTTCACGTTTCCGTAAAAGATGAATGTAATCTGGTACAGACATATATGGTGCACATATGCACGCTTATGCTGACGATAATAAGTTGCAAACAATAAGCGACATATATAGACAGTACTAGGAATTATACCGAGTTTGTAACGAAAGCAACACTGATAGCCTTTTTTTTTTTTTAGGGACGGTAGCTACACACAGAAAAGCAGACGGGTGATAGACAGTTTAAATAAATATAAGACACACATGTCGTTTCCTCTGCCAGCTCTGAGGTAACGGTTTGAAACAATTAAGGGAAAAGCAAGAAAGTTTAAACTCACTGCAGAAGGTAGCGGCCGTGACGATTTTCCCAGTGCCAGCAATAACATAACAGCGGTAGCGGTAGCGGCAGCGGCAGCAGTAGCAGTAGCAGCGTCGAATAGCTTAAGCCGTGAGCACGACGAGTAGTAGCAGCGCAGTATATCGTGTTTGTTGCAAAGCTTTTAGCTGACAGCCAGCAGCCACGCGAGCGGAAAACGCAACGATACGACACTAGCAATAGGGCTTGCTCTGTATAGGGCAGTTACAACTTCTAGACGCGTGCAACTTTATGCCTAAGCTGAGCCACAGAGTTCCTTCTACCACAAATCGACGTGAGAGACCGTTGTAGCTCTGCCTCAACGGCTCTATCTAGAGCTCAACGGATAAATGGAACATTAAGCTGTGCATAGTGACACTAAAAGCTAGATAGAAAATTTAAACCTCATCTTATTAAATGATTGGTAATGGAAATTCACCATTGGCTGCTGGCTGTCGTTGTCAAAGCACACATAAGGGATGACATATATACATATATATACACATATACACATTTATATAGCGGGTGTTATCCAGTGGTGCGACAGCGGACAAGACATAGACGACGCAGCCACTCAAGGTCGTCGAATTGCACTTTTTGGCCTTGAATGACCTTGTCAGTTTGACGGACAACAGCGAAGCATGGCGGTATATGACTGCGACGGATCGATATTAACCTGCAAATTTCTAGCGAAGTCGTCTTCTTTTACTGGCTGGCCGCTTACACGGCCAGCTCTAGTGGTGGACCCAGGTTTGAGATATTAATATGCCGTTTTGTTCCTATTGTGTCCCTAGGAAAACGGTAAGTGTTCTGGGTGTTGACGAACGTCTGTTACAGGTAAAGAAAATAATATTCAATGATCATAGCTATCGCTATGATCATTGAATACTACTAGAGCACCTAGCATTACTAGAGCATTACTAGAGCTCGGGTGCTAAGATCGATCGGTTTTTATTTTACAGAAAAATAGGAGATTTAGTTTAATAGTATATGTGTTTAAAGCTGTGGAATAGGACAACTGTTGGCTATCCAACTCCCATATTATAGAAGGACAAATAAAAAGTAGCCGTTGTGTCTGTCTATTTGACGACTGGACTGTTCGATGTCGCATGTGGTGGTGCAGACTTATAATTCGTTAGGATAAAAGCCCATGCTCTTCCTGATTTAGCTTAACCGTGGTACAAATTACGGGAAGGTCTCTACTTGCATACAATTCCGTATTAGTTCATAGCATGCATCCATACGGCGAATGAAGTGGCGACATCGTTAACAGCAGCTCTCCGGACACGATAAGCTAACAGAGAAGCATTTTTCAACTGAAACAAGGCCTCTAAGCTGTTTGCGAGCTTGCCAAGGCTTGAAACAAATGCTTAGAAGGAAATCGGCTTTCTCACCAAGCTCGATATTCCAAGCCAACAGCTCAAAGAACAGCTTTAGACGTTCAAGCGGGTGAGGTGAGATCGTCGATAGCAGTAAGCGGCATAAAAGTTCTGTTTCAAAAATACGCCGTAATATATGCGTTTTTGCATAGCCGCGCAGCAAAGCTAAGCCACTGGATTGGAAAATGGCAGAAATAGGCATTCGCGCAAATATACGATAAGGAACATTGTAGTTTGCCCAAATAGAATCGAAACAACAACATACCTTCAATGGGTACCGTCTCAACTTTTTCCGACACTACAGAGACCTCTTCTGCAAAATTAAATAAGATATTAGCTTAATAGTTTATTGAGATAAGTGCGAATTTTGTAAATGTGTACTACTCTGTTGTGCGTGGCAGAGCGCCAAGAGTGTTGCATTGCTAAGACCCTAACTCGTTTTGAGGTACCATAGAACCGCACAGGAATCATCTTGTAACTTACCTATTATTTCGGTCATCTCCTCTTTTTGAAGACGTTCTGGCTGGATTTGCTCGATCTGTTTCTCTCTTATATCTTCGTATTTCTTGATTGCTTCAACGATGGTGGTTTCTGGCTTGGGTTCGCGTTTACCCTTGGAGTCGACCTTTATTTCTGGTTTCTTGTCCTGTTTAACTTCGATTTCCGGTTGGGGAAGACCCTTGCTTTCGACAATCACCGTCGATTTCGGCTCAGGCTTGGCTTTGGCAACGATTTCAATAGTCTGAACGACTTCTTTCACCTCCTCTGGCCTTTTCTCTTTTGTCGGTTTTGGCTTTTTCTTTTCTGGTTTCTTGCTTAGCGAGATAATTTCCTCTGTTACCGTGACTCTTTCTACCTCCTTCGATGTGAGTTCCTTCTCAATCGCCACCGTTTCAGGTATTTCTTGGGCTATAGAAGCAAAGCTAACTTTACGTTTCGGCTTCTGTCGGACTTCGAACTCTACTGGTTTGTGCTCGATGGATTCGACAGTTACTACTTGCGATACTTCCTCTTTCTTAGGTATGATCGTTACGATTTCTTCTTTGATCTCTTCGACTTCTTCAATGTGCTGAGGAACAGACTCTCTAGGTTTCTCAGGCTTCTTCTTTTTCAGCATAATTTCCTCTTCGACCACCTCTGTGATTTCGGGTTGCTCGGCCGGTTTCATCACCAGTGGCTTAAGCAGCGCCGGCATTGCACTCTCCTCCAACAGAAGCGTTTCGATGGTACCCTGACGAGCCTGCTCCTTTTTGACAACGATTACTGTTTCTTCAGGTACGATAGCCGTATCAGGCTTGTGTTTCTTGGGTTTGGCCTTTTTACCAATCGGCTTGAGCTCTGACACATAGACCCTCTTCTCATAAGGCTCTTTGACTTCTTCCAATATCGTTTCCTCAGCGATATGGCTTACGTCTGGAGGTTCGACCACCGCGGCAGGTTTCTCCCTTATGGGCTGTTCGATGACTTCTTCAATCAGTTCTTCTGGACTAAGTTCGGATATATATTGTCTGCGCACAAATTCGGGCTCTTTCTTCTTCAAAGGCTTACGTAATCTTTCATAATATTGTACGTCAGCTGTCTCAGGTTTCGGGCCTTCTTCAATTGTGCTGGTCTGCGAAACCAGTTCTTCCTTCTTGGTCTCTTTTTTCTCGATTATGACGAACTCTTCGATGATTTTCTTCTCATCGAGCTCGGTAATGTGGGGCCTGCGCGTGATCTTTTTCGACAGTTCAGAAACATGTCGCTGCATCTCCCATTGCTTACGGTCGACATTGATGGAACTTTCGTCTATCGCCTCCGTCCACTCGGCCGTTTCTGTATCTTGCTTCTGGCGCAATTTCTTGATACGGCGTACATCAGCGTGTGACACGAACCTTTCAGTTTGCCATTGTTTACGATCAACGTCGAGGAAACTTTCATCGGCGCTCTCATTCCACTCCAAAGAAGATGTCTGTGGACCTGGTTTGCGTACCCAAGGCGCCATCTGCAACTCACTAATCGTCTTTTTCTTGTGGTATTTTGAACGGCTCACAGACATAAAGGAGTCGTCATATGATTCCGAGACCGACACCGAGTCCATCGATGTATCGAGGAGGGCCAACGGCTCTGGCTCTATAATACAAAAAAACGTTTGGCTAAGATTTTCCTCCATTTATGTGTACGCTAGGTAAAAAAAAAATAATCTTGCATTTGTTCTAGATACATCCAAATAAACAGAAACAAGCATAATAGTTGTACCGGTGGTATACTTTCTTCAAAGAAAGTTAACACAATTGATTGGCTCACTAAAAAGACATTAACCTCCAATATCGAGAACACAAGTGGTAAGTTCCTCGCCGGCCTCATTTGTGGCTCGTGCACTGTATGTTCCTTTGGTTTCCTCGTTCAATTCGATAATGTGCAATAGGCAACGGTCATACATGACAGTTACCTCGTATTGGGAAGGCGTTGTCTCCACCTATTTAGATTGGAGAAGATTAGATAAGTGAAATTAATATGTGCCATTTTCAACAGGAGAAGCGGCTACAAAAACATTCAATAGATGTCTTTCTGGCACAGTTTTAACCGTACACTGCAGCTTGTCTATGCTTGAAAATATCAGAAGTTCACATGACAAGTGTTTAATGTACGATGCGTACTCAAAAGATCCAGCAAATTACTTCACAGAAGAACAATATACACATATAGGCTGGGGCCTGTAAATCCGGGTAAACCTTGGCGGGCTTTTCGCGACAAACGTTTATCAGTTTCTCCTAGTAGCAGAAAACCCAGTTTTTTCTGGGACAAAAAAGTGTCAATTTGAGCAAAGATTAGTTATCATACAGTTTCTTCACGCTGAATGATACGCGTTTTTTTGGGCGCGAAATTGACGACCTATTTTATTGGAGAACTTGAGACCCTCAATAGAGTCTGAATTTGAAAGGCTTAAAAGTTTAGCAAATACTTTTGCAACAGCCATTTTTGATATATCTGGATTTTTTAAACATAAATTAACAGCCGGTGTTAAGAAAGGAGATACTAATTATTAATTGGATTGTCCAAATAAGCTTCAATGATTAATCTTTTGGAAACTTTTTACGTCTTTTCGCACTTTTTTGGTTTTATCCCAATTTTGGCAAGGCACATTTTTTGGGTTTTGGCCCACTGTGAGCTCAAAATTTGATTCCGCTGGAAATGTTTGTATGTGACGTAGCTGGATGTACTTTAACTAGCTTACACCAACAAATATCTTCTGGTCTTAGAAAGCTATTCGTAGATAAAGGAAGTTGTATTGCGAAACTGATAAACTAGTTAATTGCGAATTTCGTTGAAATATCTGTATTTTTATTAGATACAATCTTGAGAGTAAAGCATAAAGAATCCCGGATTTAGACACCGAAATCTTGTATATATTTTTATCATACAAGGCAGAATTAAATGCTCCAGGACGGGTACTGTAAGGTTATATAATTCCTATGTCCATAGATCATGCCGATTATGTTAAATCTACCTTTTGACCATTGTGGAACCACACAACGTCCGGACGTGGCCTTCCACGTGCCACGCACTCGAGCGTGATAGGCGTACCAAGTGGCTGCACGATATTCTGCAGCGGTATTTCAAACTTGGGTTTCATAGGAATAAAGTCTAGTTTTAGCGTTGAGGGCTCTACAACCTTCCGGATTGGCTCACGTGACTTCATATCTGCATACAAGTGAATTAACAAAACGAATGAGAATTCCGCTCAGAAATACTTGCCTCAAAGTTCTCATAACCATGGCGAGGTCGGCTCCCTCGCTGATGCTTTTTTTTTTTTACTCAATCTTCCAAAAAATCCTATATTTTCCCAGTCATCCTTAGAGTATCAGATCCTATTCTAGGAGATTAAGTGTACCAAAGAAATTTAAACATATACCGCTTCTTCTAAGTGCTACCTAAGCTGACACACTTACCAATTTGTACAAGTTCTGCATGAGTCACATCGACCCCATATCGGTTCTTAGCCTCTACATAGTAATGTCCGAAATGTTCCTGTTCAGTGTGTTGAATGACTAATTGACAGGTACCTTCAGTATCATACGAAACCTATATCAAGCCAACAAAATCATATGATTAGCGTGACTATGTTGCAATAATTTCATAAGCGAATAGGGCTCGTTATGGCATTTGTTGCGACTGCTGAGATGTCGAGCCTCTGAGCTGAAATAAATTTGGTTTTTCTGTGATTGAGTATGTTTATAACGTTTTTTTCCCAGATACGTCAAGTAAAAAGGTGTTCAACGATAAAATCGGCCGATATATTTATATATGAGCCGCGTAGGGTGATTTTGCTTACACAGACTTCAGGCGTCCGCTCAAGCGGCTCTCCTTCCTTAAACCATGTGACTTTTGGCTTCGGCTTGCCGACCACCCGACAATCCAATCTGCAACGCCAAGGTTGTTAATTATAATGGTTAAACTTCGTACAGTAAAAATAACATCTACCATAAACGGTACAAGCTCAACACAGTCACTTGTACTCGGGCCTTGCTTTAGAAAACTTGAAAAAGCAGTGAAAAACACAGCATACATATTTGTGTTATCTTAAATTCTTAATTCTGTTACCCGGAAACACACGCTTAATATTTAACTTACGTTGCAGGTTGACCTTGAGTGACGAGAACCTCTTCTAAAGGACACGTGAATTTGGGCGCGGTACCCAGTTCAGAAATTTTAAGTGCCGGAACCCAGCGGCCCGCTCGAGTAGGCACCATATGAACTTCAATGGGCTTTTGAGGAGCATGAACAAGCATTTCCTAAAAGACAGAATTTCTAATTGGCTTTCTCTGCACGGTTAACATATAAGCTCTACCCATAATGAACCAAAAAAATATAGTCTTTACTTATAAGGCGACGACCGAATGTTGGATGCTATATTATATTGGGCAAGAAAACCTGAAGATAAATTAAATTGAGCGCCGATTTGTATTCCTACTCGGCCGTTACTGGAATTACTGATTTATGTAGCTTCAGTCAAGGCTCAGTTTTTGTTTCTGACAACGCTCTCCTGCTTTTTAAGCTGCATTCACATGAAAGACATATATATGTTATATAATATAACCTACCTCTGGATACTGAGGTTGTTCCGCAGGGACGAGGTATTCGTCAGGTTTCTGTGGCCTTGGTTGTGTAGTCGCAACAGCAAAAACAGGCCTGTATGATGGATGTCCTGGCCGAATATAGGCAGGATGTTGTGGCGCACGAGGCTGTCGTTCTGCTGCAAACTGCGGGGTGATCATTTGTATGCCAGATACTCCAGGTTGGCGTACCAATATCGGCGACATGGGCACTTGGGGCAGCATTTCTCCGGGTCGCAGTGGGCGGCTTGGCTGAGGTTGCCGCAAGGCCGCCGTCTGTAAATATGAAGGCAACTCCTGTCCCGGGAAGAGCGCCTGTGACCTTTGATCTGCATCACGCACCGTGGGGTACTGTGGCGCTTGTGGTATTTCTTCACCAGGTAGTCGAGGCTGAATGGCCTCTCTAGGCCAGGCCGGTGCTGGATGCGCTGGTTTTTCGATAGCCTCTCCGGGCTGGCAGACATTACTTTGATCGGCGGACCACATGCTAAATTGCCACACTGGTTTTGGTATCATCTTAATGAGATATTCGCGTGCCTGCTCTATCATTGTCTTCGTTGTTGGTTGTGGCTGCAGTTGAGGAATCTCTTCTTGAGCGAAGCCCGAGATCGGGCCGGGCATATACTGTACTCGTGATGGGATCGGGGATCCAGGTTTTGCTGCTTGCGGTAGTTGCGGGCCGCGTTGGTTCATCCCGGTGATGTCTTCCCGACTTGTCGCGGTTCTCTGAGTAACCGTTGTCGCAGTATCGGTCGTTTGAGTCGTGCCGACCGTGTAGTGAAGCATGACAAAATCGTCTGCGGTAATTTCCGTCGGTCGTTGAAGCTGCTCTCCTAGCGCTGGTGTATAATGTTCAACGTACTCGTCAGATCGTATAGACGAGACGACGTCTTCCTGAGGCCGTTGTCCAATGCTGTCTATAGGACTTGGTGTAACCATTTCTTCGTACTCGCCAATAGTAATGCGCGTCGTGGTCGTACTTTCGCCATGCTCATTAACCGCACGGCACGTGTACAAGCCTTCCGTATCTTTCGACAGCTCAAGGATTTGTAGCATGCATCGATCATTCAAAACTGTCACTATATATTTGGTAGAACTTCCAATACGAATTTTAGTAGAATTAAAGTACCAGGTGAAGGTCGGCTTTGGTCTTCCTCGAGCAATCACTTCGAGCGTGACAGGCGTTCCAAGCGGCTTGACGTACTCTGGATAGAGTTCACGTTCAAATTTAGGTTTTTGGGGCTTAAAATCCAATTTCAGTTTGTGATCATGGCTTGGCACTTTACGTATCGGACACATGCTCTTCATGTCTGTAATATAAGTTATTTATCGTTAAGCGTGTTCTGTTGCGACACGTGTGTCAACTGCTAGCCGATGTATCGGAATAATTGGCCATATCATCCTGATTGAAAATCGGCCACAAGGGCATTTAGATATTTTTTCTATATATTCTATGTAAGATATCTAAGCACTTATGTCTCAGGCTTACTTTTATGTACAGGCCGATTGGGAAGAATCTATATGAGAAGATAACTGAACAGACGTCTTCAAACGCGAACATATTTTTTATGTACGTACCCAGTTGCACGAGCTCGCATTCGGTCATATCAACTCCGTAGGCGTTTTTGCATTCGCAGGCGTAGAAGCCAAAATCATCGAGCTGCGTTCGCTGAACAGTGAGCGTAGAGATACCCGAAGTCTCGTAAGATATCTGACAATCTGGTGTCCAACGGATGACTTCTCCGTTCTTGTACCAAGTGACCTTAGGTCGCGGGTGACCAGACACTTTCGCGTCCAATCTGTTATACAATATGTACAATAATGGGAGTCTCATAAGCAAACTTTCGATATCTCAAGAAAGATATTTGCCTTTTAACACATACAATATCCAAGGGGTTGCCTTTATCGTTTTACGTGAGACCTAAACTCATTAACTTACGTTGCTGGCTGGCCAAGTGGTACGATCACGTCTTCCAGGGGGACATCGAATTTAGCCGCAGTTCCAGGCGTAGAAGACCTTCGCGGCGACCAGGAGTGGGCAGCAGGCGTCGAGGCGGATAGCGAAGCGGATACCGAATGCTCTGAAGCATCGGATGGTTTACGGGTTGGAGACCAAATCGATGGACGGGAAGAATCAGGAGTGCCTCGCCGGTGGCCACAAAGTGGTTTCTTGTCCTTTAAAAAATTAGAAATGGTATCAGTAGTCACCATATACGGTCTGCATGAAATATAATTCGACAGAACTTCCTACTAGTCAAATCTACAGATAAGCAGTTTTGCACAACATGGTGCAATAAATTCGTTGGTAAAAAATGTAACATCTCTAAGTTGTCCAATAGATAAAATCCTGTCGGTAAAGTTTAACAGTAATTTAAAATAATAGTGGCAATAACTGCACCGAATGACTTGACTTACTTTGTCTTTCCGAGAACTTCTGGGTCGGTGCTCGTGTTCGCCACGCGTGGGGGTTCTCGTACGGGAGTCGGGCCTCCTGTTTGGCCTATCGCCGCGCCTGCCACTCCGGCGGGGCTGTTGTGAGTCATGGAGTGATTCTGGCCCGTGTCGAGGAGGTTTACCTAACAATCGAATAAAACCATGTAAACATTGAGCATTTCACATGACTCAACAATTTCAGCGTTAATTTCTACACACGTCGTTGCAAGATTTGATATACCTGTTGGTGGCTTCTGTTTTGTACTGAGCTTGGCGAGCTCGCTCGTAGACAGAGGTTCGTCCATGGGTAGATCGGGAATTTCAATGGAGAAGTCCGCGTCGGTATCGAGCTCCTCAGAGAAACTTAGCGAGGCGGTGTGAATGCTCTCCATTGTGGTATCAAGACTCTGGCTAAAAGTGGCTACCTCAGAATCCGGTACGTATTCATATGCTAACATAAAATGACAAGCAATTAGAGCTATGCCACATGCACTGAGTAATGGATTGCCATATCTTTGTATTGTGTAGTGACATTTGACTGCTACATAATATTTCAATACTAATTGGCAGTTCGATGTTTGTTGTTATTACTTACACTCAACGGTGAGCGTCGTACGAGTGTACACCGTTCCCGCTTTATTAGATACTTTACATACATACTCGCCCATATCCTCGGGGAACACTTCCGATATGAAGAGCTCGCAATATCTAATGGATAACGATCAACGGTAAAATCAATTGTCGTTATACGACGCTTCGTCAAGTACGCTTATTATTTCTAATCCTTACTTCAGAGCATCTATATAGGTAAGGCGAATTATTATCGTTTTCTTATTATCATTATTGTTACTGTGAAGTAAATTTTTTGATGAAAAATGATTGAAGAACCACTGGCTCATGTACATATAATGATCAACGTGCGGTGGATAGGCGTACCCGTCTGATCGCTGCGTCATCCAAATATCATCGTTGGCTTTGACTTCGATATCGTTATGGAACCACGTCACCTAGACGAATTTGGTACGTGTTTACATAGAATTAATAATAAGGCGTTAATTGTAACGTAATAGTCCACGCTTTCAAGTTTCGTTTGACCGAGTAAATGTGCTCCACCTATTACTGGAGCTGTGGATTTTCTGACACAACTAAGAGCAGCGATATCAATAAGGAAACGCACAATATTAATTAGCCAGTCGGACACATTGATATACCTTAGGTTGAGGGTGTCCTGATATCACAACGCTAAACTTAGCTTCACTGCCGTCCATAACCGATAGCGGTTGAAGTGGACTAAGAATTCGTGGAGATTCCAGCTCGTCATCCGGTGACACGATCTCTGAGTTGGGCAAAACAACATTCAATCAATATGACGGCTTATACAGATATGAAGAAAACTTAATTATAGCGTAATGTTTCACGCTGAAGCGTTAATCTATTATTTACTACTAAAAATTATACCTACTTTCAACCACAAGTGTAGCTTTGCTTTGCGCCATTCCGAACGAGTTGACCGCTGTACAGGTAAATTCCCCTTCGTCATCTGGAAATACTTCATTTACGATAAGCGTAGATCGATTACGTTCCGAGATCACCTATAATTCACAGTAAGCGGTAATTACTTAATAGGCAAGACATACTCCACGGTTTGCTGTCGGCCTCGTTTCGCCTTCACGAGACCTTACATTGCCTAAAAAAGTCATAGCTACTTCTTGTTATAGCCAGGCTTCCATTTAAAAACGTCACTATAATTAAAACTGGCGTTAATAAATATTTGAACTATATTATTGAGAAGGAACAAACCTGGAAGTCTCTCGATGGTTTGATAAGGCGGTAATTGTGGTACCAACTGATTTGCGCTGCAGGAACCGCGGAGACCTGGGCCCGCAGAACGGCTCTTTGTCCTTCAGTAACTGTGATCGGTTGGAGGTGAAGCACGAAGGTCGGCTTGTGCGACGCGGTTGCTGTCTGCTCATCCATCGCTGTATCTGTTCAAATCAAATAAAAAAAACTGTCATTAAGACACGTCCATACGCATAAATGATTGCAGCTAGATTTAGGCGCATTATATTTATTATATAGAACGATGATGTACAATAATTTATACTCGAATTCTAAAGCCAAAAAAGAGCAGCAACTTACGTTCAGTTACCGACAGATTAGCGGCTGAGGTGGCTCTGCCCGCGGGGTTTAAGGCCAACACCTCATAAGGACCAGCGTCCTCAGGAAATACCTCTGGAATGGTAAGCTTTGACTTACACCCCTTATGTCCAGTAATCATATGATCTCGAGCTGATATAATGGGCCTACCGTGGAAGAACCATTGAATAGCAGGCGCAGGAACGGCAACCACTTCAACCTTCATTTCAATCGGTTCGCCTTCAGACACTGTTCGGGGTTGGAGTGGTAGGACAAAACGCGGCTGAACATTCAAGTCCGAGCAACTTTCGAGGAGCTCGACGTCGGTAACCGTAAGAGGAGCAGTTGTTTCATCCTCTCCAAAGGGATTTGATGCCCGACAGGCGTACACACCCTGATCATCTGGGTACACCTGAACAGACCACACAAATACTGTTATGATCTCGCGATGGCAAGCTCCACCCTGGGATAAGTTTCTGCGACATACTGTGATATTTAGAGAAGGTGCTGAGGTATCGTCTTTTAGAGATTTTCTGGATGCTGTACAACCTGTCGTGGTTACAGCAGCTGAAGGAATGTACGTATTATATACAATTCTTCTAAGAAGTACCAATAATAATAAACTGCAATTTATAAAGAGGAAGAACGATGCTTTGTTCAAAAAATGAAGCTCTAAATTCTTAAATAGGTGCGGTTATTAATCTTTGTTTTACACAGGGACTGAACCCGTTTAGCGCGGGAACCCCAGCATCCCGGCAATGTTTATTATATAACAGTTTAAGTGTGTAACTACCTATATTCAGATAGGCAGTGTGATAATATCGCACCTTCTATCCTTTCCACAAGTTCATTCCGAACGTTTTAAACAAGAACTAAGCACGACTACAGATGGAACGTTGTTGTTGGATAATCTAAAATCACTGACGGAAGGCGGACGCTTATAGGCCAATAAATTGAATTGGCCGAATATAATAGAAAATTCCAAAATAATTTTTCGCGAAAATACGAAAATATAACTAAAATAAAGTGAAAGCTTGCTAGTAGACAAAGGAAAACAGATTAGTTTAAAAGTTTGATCGTAAACTGTCGACTACTTCAGCGTAGTAACAACGTTGCGTCTGATAACGTTGCGAACAATCAAGTGCTTGTCCTGCAGTGGTTGAAAACAGAAAATAGCAGCTACGAAAACAAGACGTTATAGAGATCACCATAATAACTATTCAGAAGCAAAGGACTTACTTCAGCGATGACAAGTTGGCATATGCCAGTCGTCGGATTGAAGCTAATACGGAATTCTTCAGAAGATCTGATTTCTCGGCGATTTTGGAACCAGGAGATAGAAGGTGACGGATTTCCAATGACGCGGCACTGGAGTAGAACGGGAGATCCGTCCGTGGTTTCAACAGGCTTGAGCGGTTCAATAAATATAGGACGCTGTCCACGGTCTGCGTTCGTCAACGGCAAAACAAATATATGATACCAATAACAGAATAAACGATACAAAAAACGACGTCAAAACCTGCATAACCGACTGGTGGTCCCGGGAAAAGGGAACTTAAACACTCTGCCAATGGACTGTTTCTGGCTTGCGATTAATCAGTAGCCGCGTGCGCTAAAGACCGTCTGTAAATCAACGAATCTTTAGAACAATCCAAAATGAGTGCAATTTTTCTACCGTGTCATAACGTATCTTGTCAGTAATTAACAATAAACAAATATAAGTTACCTAACACTGTCACAAATTACAGCTTAACCGTAGTTCTGACTGAAAATTCAAAAAAAAAAATCCCATAGCGTCCTTGCTGTCACAAGAAGTAGGCAAGAAGTAGTTTTGTTGTTATCCTCACAAATAAAAATAAGATATTTATGGTATTGTCGTAACATGGGCTGACAAATATAAAAATAACAAACTAATCGCCCAATCATATTCCTACTGCAGTCACAAAAAGATCATATTCATTTTAATTAATACTCTAGCACATAAAAGGGCGTATTGTTCTCTTTTGACGCTCGAACATAAGGCAATCGTTATCTAACCGATAGGAAACATGTTGCCTAATGACTTTCACTTTTCTCAAGGATACGGCTGAAGAATAATGCTATCGTTCTCATCTTCGGATTTCGTAATTCGGCCTTCAAGGACATAACATTCGGAGAATTAGATGAAGCGCATTGAACTTTCCGCAATTTCTTATTACAGAAATATGATGTTTAGATCGAGAGCTCGAAATCACTCGATTGTAGAAGCTGTCTTCTGATTAAAATGCTTCCCTAAGTGATCTATTAAAGTTTTCCGAAAAGTGTGCATCGTGACAAGATTTTCCTTCGTGGTACGTATGGCCGGTCTTTTGCTTAGGTGAAGATGTGTAACTGTTAATGTTCTAAACGGTCCGAATGATTGAAGCACTCAAACATCTTTTTTCCATCCAAGTTTGACACATTGCTGCTTCTATATGTATATAAGCTATAAGGGAGCTTTATTTTCTGCACTTATTCTAATGGTGACATTTGGATTAAGGAGACCTGACCTCTTACGCTTTTCCAAAACCTCGTGGCCCTTTTTCGAGCTAATTTTTTTTGCACGAGCTATCACATTTTATATCTGGGATTGAATGACAGTTTTTCATCTCACAATAATCAAGCATTTAGCCTCCGCCTAAGTCTTCTATTTATTTGATTAAGTTAAAATTACCTTTGTAACCTACTGTCAGATTGACAGTCCACCAGTTCCTATTATAAAAACAATGAGTTTATTACAAATCACTAAATGTATTCAATTAAATCTATCGAACAACAAAGACTTGATTACGCTCAAGGGTACGTATCTGTCTTATTCAATAGGTCTTTAAAAACGTTTGAGTTCAGCAAAAAAGGAAAAAGCTAGCTAATACGGAACAAAAATTGCGAATCGGTACAACTTATCGAATAGAACGGAAAAAAAAAAGACCCGTTACGGTGGATACGATAATGCACAAGTAGTTGCAGAAAATGACCCGTATGGTTTTCTAAAGCTTCGCAAAGCGTGAACTGCATGGACAACAATGCTGCAATCAGAAATATAAGTCAGGTTCTGAAGGCCGCACTTCTACCGCTATCTCACTTTCTTTGCCGTTATAGAAATCCTCACTAAGGCCCGCAAAAACTCCGGATATGTCCTATGCGTTATTCTGGCGCATCTTAAAAGTAATCTCAAAAACGAAGACGCCCATGTAAGTTAGAGCGTTTCGATTCAAAGCATTTCTTTATGGTTTGATCTATTAGTAGTCTATCGAATCCGTAAGAAAAATTACTATTTATTTTTATTTTGTCTTACTGAGAGCGGGGGATTTGGGCGTAATTAGCTTTCTTTGTTTGATTTAAGGAGTGAAAATTGTAGAAATTTAGCTTATTCAAAATTGTTTTTTTTTATACGCGTCGGGCGACCGATAGTTTTGCTTACTGTGAATAATACGTTGGTTATATGGTAAGGTGATATGAGATATAAATACTTTATTTAGCAATACTCAGATTTGAGTTGAAAGCTACAGCGTTGAGAGAATGATTTTAGTCGAAACGGATGCACGAGACGTGCAAGCACGGATAGGATAAGCTATTGCTTTCTAACAAGGAAACACTGACTTTAGAAACTTAGTGCTATCGCAAACTCAACGTTTGTAAGGTGCCCATGCGTCTGACACTTGGTACTTTTAGATTTCTTATTTTCCTATTGATAATATCTGTGCTAAGCTATAATGAGATTGATAGGCTGTATGGGTCAGATAAGCATACATTACTTTAAAGTGGGCTTAACAAAATTTCTGTGTCTGATATGGGTCGCCATCTTTCGTAACGCTACGGTACTTCGAGACGGTATAGAAAATGAAGTTATTAGAAGGTACGATCGCGGGAAAATTATCGAAATCGCCGCGAGTCACTCACATACCACGCAGGCTTTTAGATAACACACGAGAGCGGCTGAAACGTTTAGATTGCTCAACCTTCGTCAAAGTTTTGAATAGAGAAATGAAAGAGTTGAATATACTGTACGATATCTAGCTTTGAACATGAACACTTTTTCTAGGCACAAGCATTCCCATGTGTTTCCGCGTTTTACCTTTGACGTATAGGACGTTTGTTGTGGTTACTTGTCCATGCTCGTTTGATGCTGTGCATGTATATCGGCCAGCGTCGTGTGGCTGAATGTTAATTAGCCGAAGATAAAAAACACCGTCTGAGCTGACGGATGTCTGAACATCTCCGCCGGAAACGAGTGTACGATTGTCGACGGCCCAGCGGACCTCAGGTAGGGGATCACCCTGTACTCGACCCTGGAAAATGACTTCGTTCGGCGAAATCTGCCGGGGCGTTGGTTCTTCGATAAAGGATGGAGGAGCCGCAGGACTGGGAGTCATCTTAGCTATTTTCGACGGAAGGCCTTGGTTCTCTTGTGGGCCGGGACCCCCAAGGCCCTGCAAACCGTGTGGGAAATTCGAGGCAGTTGTGGCGGTGTGGGGCGTGACAGGGAGTGGCTGGCGGTCGCCTGGGCGTTTCCCTGCGGGCGGAGGCCGAGTACATCGAATTTAGACCTCTAAATAGTCGACAAAGGATGGCGTGCTCTAGTTGATAATAATCGTACGCGCTTTTATGCGGTATAAGGGTGATACAATGTTGATGCATTAGGAAGATTAACTTGTATCTAATGAACTGTGGGGCATTACCATCCTAATTAACAATGGACTTAATATGACGTGGTCACTAGGGGGTTGTGTAGGGTTATAGTGAGTGTTTACTGTCCGACTTGACTTGAGATCGAAGCAATTGGGGATTGGGGGAGGGGGAGAGGAGGTAAAGGAAATTCCGCCAAGGGAACTGCGAACTGAGCGCATTCCATGTAAGGAGAAACAGAGATTTGAAGACCCGGGGAGCTCCAAGTAAGTTACGATTTTTCAGAAGGGTTATTCTCATCACTGTTTGATAGACTCTCCAGAAGAGTCGTCTTCAATAACACTAAAGCAACTTCATTTAGGTATGCTCGATTACATTGAAGAGATTGTTTAGCAGGATGGGCCGGTAGGGTTATCGTTAGAGGCTGGCAGAAGGGAAATCTATTTAGGTATACGTTCGTGGAGTCGAAAAGTTAAACAATTCGATCTGAGTTTATAGTTTGGATTTTTGCATGGTCCGCCGCCGCCGCTCGTCCGTCACGTTGCCACAAAATAACCATTCTGTATTTGTTGGTCTCATCAGACGACTGCTAGGGGGCGCTCAAGTCAAGAAAGGCAGAACACGACACCGAGTTGTTTGGATGCACGACAAACGACCAATTTTTATTATTGCAACTATTATTAATATATTATTATGATTCAATACTAGTCATATAATATATCCATATCATCGTCATATTAAGTAGCCACTGAAAATGCTATATATCTCCAATCTGATTGTTTTTTTTTTTGGCAGTTTTATTTTTTATTTAGGACAACTTACAGACGCGCACTCTCGCGTTATTGCCTTTTTGGTTTTTTTTTTTTCTTTTATGCCTTTTTCAGTGACTATAATGACTCCGTACAGCCGCTGTGTTTGTATTTTTAATAAATCGTGATTTTAGTTGTCTTTTTAAGGGGTCAGTAACGAAGGTAACACAGACACACAATGTTCACATCAACAAACACTCAATGGCACCGATTAACGCAGATATATAATAGATAGGTATTCAATATTAAATGCTAGTAGTTTTAATAACGCCGATGACGTATCTTCTTATCATCGATACAAAGCGTCACATTAAATTAAGGTGTCCATGAATGGCTCACTACTTACTATAATTATTACGGCTAACCTAGTCACCTTTGCATTTGGTTGACTAGTAATACGGGAGCGTCAATCTAAAAAGCATAGCAGATTTCTTGGGAGGAACCACCCTTAGCAACATCGTAGTGGCTGATGCCTAAACAAAAAGGATTTGTTCCTAATGGACCAGCAGGTAGAGGGAGCGTACGTTATGCAGTTGGAGATCGGACATTGCATAGGGTCACCGTTCCCCTAATTGAGGATTCAAGGAACGGAGCCTGGCTGCAATGCTCAACACATTTAGGGACGTCGAAATATCGAGTGCGTCCTTTTGCTAGCGTAAGCAACGTTAACAAATCAATATGTCACCACGCGGAAGCAATAGAGGGAGGACCTCCAATGAGCACTAGAGGTTTTATGGAGGTAGATAGAGAAATCTCATCGCGGCCACTGGTCACAAAGCAATTTAAAACAACTTTACTAACGCTGAAGCCTATGTCCGGCGATACCGGGCAAGCCCGGAATAGGCTTAAGTTGTCTCACAGCGCAGTTCGCTTATGGTATTATTATCAAATATGATTATGTTCTTGTAGGACAAGTTTCGGCGGTAAAAAAAATCTAAAACGATAGTAACAAGGCTTGGAGTGTATGCGATTCAACCATCTGGCCATTGACGCATTGGCTGGCAGTCAGTGGTGTGGTTCGATAGTTCAGGGCAAAACTAGAGCTTTGGAAAAAAAATCCATCTTTTTTTCGGAGCTTCTTTGTCAGTCTGGCCCCTGTAGCTCTCTTATCCCGTGCGATTAGTGTTATTGTCTCATAAAATTAGGACCGGTGTCAAACACCATATTTGTTGTCCTTCTGGAAAACTCGACTGGGCAGGAATCATCGTCATTATTCTGATAGGTAGGGTGCTGTTTTTACGTATCTCATTATTGGAAATGGTTTGTAGCTGTTTTTCCAATTGATGAACAGTTGTCGCTAGTAAATCTTAACGCAGCGCGTTTTGTCATGCACTTTTGATAAAGGAACATTGTATTTGTATGTATGTATGTAACGTTTATTGTGTGCATTGTTTGTGTTCTATACGGCCATGTCTGCTTACTAGCCAGACAGCAACCGTATGATGTTCTAACTTCTTTAGCGTCATTTATGTGTTCGCTTGTATTACGAATTAATAGTAATTTTCTTAGGGACAATCTAGCGTTTAGAAAAATAAGCGCGTATCAATCACTATGTTTACTACTACTACTAAATGCCACTCGATGAGTAGAGTTGAGTGATACTGTCACAGTGATTAGGAACATTCTTCTGTAGATTTAGGAGCGAGCCTTACGGTGCACGGTCAGTTTCGCTGCTGCTTCGGCCTGACCTCCCGGATTCGTCGCACGACAGATGTAGGTGCCCTCGTCAGTTATCAGAACGCTCCGTATGACCAGACTACAACTAGTCTCGTCTTGTGTAATCTGTTCGTGATAGATTGATAGACACAGGCGCGACGACGCCGTAACATATCGACAAAGGACGTGCCATGCCGCAATCGTCCGAATCATGGACAATAGTGAATGAAAACAAACAAACAGAACAAAAAAAAAAACAATAATTAAGATAGCGTATAATATTAGAAACGGAAAAATTTATTCCTTTTTAACACACTGTTAAGGGTTCGCAGTTAGGTGGTAGAAATTATCGATAGTGTGGTAATCATAAAAGCATGCTTAACACACAAGGTATTTTTGTATGCTTTTTTACTGGGAAGGGGGCAGTGTTTTTTTCTCATAAACGAATGAAGTACCTGGAAATCTCTGGTGGGCCGAATCACCTGGCCACCCTTGTACCATGTAACCTTAGGCCGGGGCGTGCCTGCCAGCTGTGTAGTGAACGTGACAGACTGGCCTTCGGTCGCAGTGAGGTCTGAAAGATGGCCAAGCGTTGGCGGACTTTCGTTGCCATCGGACACGATGACCTTGAGGAAGGCGGATGTCGATGCAGTGCCTGCGCGATTTGTCGCCTCACAGCGATACTCTCCTTCGTCCTCGGGGAAGACCTCGGATATTTTCAAGGTGTAAACATGGTTTTCGCCACTCAGCTTATAATAACGTGACTGCTTGATCAGGTTATCCCCCCGATACCACTTTACCTGGGCAGCTGATAAGACACGATTTGTACAGCTTAGGTTAGACATCGCTCGATGAATGAACGCATCGCGTCGTACTCTCAACTTTGGAAGTAAAAAATTTATTGTAATTGTAGGAACTTAACAATATATTCGTTATTCACTTCATATTAAAGTTTAATTAATTCAACCGAAAAAAAACAATCTTACTGGGAGCGGCGGGTATTCTGCAGCGGAACGTAGCTGGCTGACCTTGTTTCACAGTGAGATCCTTAATTCCATCAGTCACTTGCGGTCCCTTAGCGGACATATCTACAGGAGCCTGCATGGCTTGCACAGCGGCCGCTGTGGTCGCACTTGATGGCTCAACAACGACCTGTGCCATACACCGGGCCTCGCCGGCTTTATTGAGCGCTACGCATTCATAATTAGCAGAGTCTTCAGGGACGGCATTAAGGATAACCAACGTGCACTGATCGGCTTCTTCATGTATCTTATGTCGCTCATCTTCAGTCAGTTTTTGTCCAGAATGTAGCCAGTAGATGTCCATTGGTCGGCCCCCAGAGATGCAGCCAGAAAGACGGATAGTCATACCTTGCTTGGCACGTTGCGATTGGATTGTCTTGGTGAAGTTTGGTGGAGCCATTCCGGCACCAGCCTCTTGCCGTTCTTGGACGACGAGGTTTGCCGAAGTCTTTGCACTTCCGCCACGGTTCTCAGCCTTTACGGAGAACACGCCACTGTCCTCGAGATACACTTCGCGGATAATCAACACAGATTTGGAGGCCGTGGTGGTGATTTGGAAATCTTTCGAATTTTTTATCGTGAAATTCTCTCGGTACCACGTGATCTCAGGAGGAGGGTCACCGGTAAATTCGCACTCGAATTTTGCACTTTCACCTTCCGTGACGCGACAAGGCTGAATTTTACGTGAAAATTGCGGTGCCTTCGCTGGCTGCACCGGACCTTCCACTACCCGTTCAGTCGTGACTCCTTTGTGTCCTTGTTCCACAGTTTCAGTGACCTTCTTCCGTTTGTGGATTTCTAGGTCGTCATGGAAATGCTTCTGGATTTGTTGCTGTGTGGTTTGTGTAACCATTTTACCTTGTACCGTCGATGAAATAGCTTGACCGAATGACTGTGCTGGAGCCGTGGGCTGCTCGCCTGCTTTCTGTTGTCGAAGCATAATGCTGTAATGAGACCCACACATAGCGATTTGGATGCTTTACTTCTACTGCTTGGAATAGTTCACTAGTACAGGACTATCCCACAAGAGTTGTTCCCAACGTTTGTCTATCGAGTTTCTCGCCGGCCTAGATAGCGTCTGCATAAGCTCTTCTTTTCGTACTTATCATGAAAACATGTGCATTCTCTTTATAAAACAAATTCGAATCGTCTTCGTATGCCGTTATTAGCTGGTACGGCCCTCAAGGGTCCTCTGTTATTAATAGCACTTGGCATCAGAAGAGACGTACAAGTACCTTCTCAGAGTCTTTCGAAATCATAACCCGCCGATTAACTCGTGAAGAATTTCGTTCAGGGATCATTTGTAGACGCTCGGAGCAAATTTTATAATATACTAATTAAGCTCGTTGGAAAAATATGGTTTTTGCATGAGTTAAAATTTTAGTATAGGACAAAAACAAAAAGAAATGTAACGCAGTTTATAGACTCGACCTTTTTCGGACACGCCAATAAAAGCGGACGTTTTTTTTCTGGTCATCTCAAAGACCCAACTGCAGCAGTAAAAAAATCGATACTTAAAAGCCAATAAATGAAACAGACGTTTGATCACTCCCCAGTCCCTATCTATGCATCGATCTAAGCAAGAATATTTATGACGCCTGTACAAAAATACTTCTCTTTATCCCTTGTTAGCAAAGTGACGACCTAGGTATTCATTCACTGCATGTATAGTCAATGATAGATGATTAGTGAGCAGGCCTCGGAACATCGTTATAGAAACGAGTTGGGAAAACTAGTCTGTTTTCTGTGTTTCACTTCTTCACACTTCAACGTTCGCTGCTTTAGCCGCGTGAGCTTTAGCTGAAGCAATTGACACAACCAACCTAAACTAGGTGCATCAAATATGGTCACAGCCTTAGCAAACATGTACCGAGTCAGCCGACTATGTTAGAGATAAGTCAAGCTTTTGTAATGGCAGACCCATGATCGTTAGTCTACTTGATTCAATGTTTTTGTTTATATAGAAAACGACAAGATTTTTGGCTTTTGAAACACGAGCATCTGTACGGATTTCATAAGGACTCCCGTCAGTCAAACCTCAAACCTCAGACCCGCAGTCAAACCGCAAAGAAACCCATAATTGTCCAGTTGACAAAAAATATCGAATGCTATCAGATTCTTGTAAAGTTACGTGAACAATGTCTCATGACGATTCGATATTATATGTCGTAGTATAGCAAACATCCAATACTCACTTCTGCTTTATTTGCTGTTGCTGTTGTATGAGCTTCTGCTGGCTGCTTAGCTGTTGAATCATCGAACTCTTCTGCTCAGTGACCGTTTTCGACGTTTGTGAGGCCTGCATCTCGTGTATTTTATCCAACTCTTCGGTAGTAACTTGTTGTTTAACTTGTTTCTTTTCGCCTGAAAGTGAGATCATTGAGAATTGAAAATATCGAGGAAAGTGCGGGCTCTTCTGCTACAGGCAGGGTAACAGTCCGTGTGATCTGTTTTAATAGTTATATGCACATAGTAAGTTATACGATTACCTTGAGCCGTCCGTTCGGTTTTCCAAACATTAACTTCCTGTCCACCAGGAAGAACTTCTTCGAAGATACGTTTCTCTTCTTTCTTTTGACGATCAACCTGGTAGCTGCGAATATCGCGGTCATACCATGGATTTGGCGATTGCTTTAGCACCGCTCGATAGTCACTTTGGTGCTGGCGTACTTCTAATGTCGTAAAGCAGTAAGCCTCACCTTCCGCATTACGAGCAAATACTTCGACCTAATCGGGTGTTTAAAGCAGTACCGAAATAAATGGTCATCTATTAATTTGTTTAATGAAGAAATTCAATGGAAAGAAGGAAATAAATGTAATCTTTTAAGCAAAGTGCATAATAACTTAATCATGTCATTGTTATTGTACCTAAAATGTAAATAGTACATTTTCATTTCTTCTGACACTAACCTTTCCTCCGTCGTATTGTCGAGTTTTGGGAATGTCGAAATGGTAGATGCCGTCGAAGGTGAGCTTGTACCTTGAACCCTGGAACAGAAATGATATGTCAGGGGTCGAAAAGGCTACTCACTGGGCATACAACAGTTAAACTTCACATATTGTATTCCGGTAGGGATAAAGCATCTAAGTGGCGCCTATCTTTGAACGGAACTTGAACACAACACAACCATTCAGGATGCGTCAAGAGAAGCACAAATATATTACATAGAACGTAAGCTCGGACAAAAGCGTATTGACTCGGACAGAAAATACGGCGGCACCGGTATAACTAATGTATAGGATGGCATTGAACAATGTTCCTGTGGCATGTAACAGTAGTAATATAACAGTAAAATGTAGCGGTGTTAAGTAAAGCTCGTCCGTTGTGGACCCGTCCAAAGTTCACATTGTAATGAGACCTGTTCTCAAAGAATCGGTCGCCGAAAGCTTCTTGATTTCTATAATCACCACCACCGCTTGTCGCGGTGGCTGTCCTTGCGGATCAGTTTCGTGTTGAACTCGCAGATCCCATCACCAGGGCCTCCACAAAGCCCTACCGAGGCTAGGCTTAAGCCCTACCCTGGAAACCCGATAGCAAGGACAGTCAGCTTTGAGACGGGTCGCACAAAGATAATGCGAGCGAAGAGACCGATGCCAGACGGCACAGCCTACTAACGCTTTGGGAACAAGCAACCAGCTAAGCGCGATACATTTCCGGAGATTTCTGATGAAGAATGCCAACTGATCAGGAAACTCTGAATGTCTTTCGTGGGGAGGCTGCAATCAAAGGGTCAGGATCTAAATTTTCAAACTATTTTTCATCAGCCTTCTGTATCTAAAGCATTCAGAATGGCCATAATTTGCTGGTAAAAGCTCGTAGTTTGGTTTATCTGTTTTACTGAATAAGCCGTCGGCGTCTGCTGCGCAACAGAGCTCGAACAGAACTTTTACACCGACGGGGTAGTTCGGTGGTTCAAGACGACGAGCTGGAGATGGATCGGGCGCAAGACTGACGTTTCGGCCACTATACCCTCTCAAGATATTCGATCAGGTTCCCCGCACTGCTCAAGGTGAGTGTTAGCCGGCCACGGCGGGGCCACGGGTATGCCTGCCACAAACGTTCAGTAAGGCAAAAGACCCATTCCTACGAAAAAACTTCCTATCTTGTCGCTACCGATCGCGAAAGCCTAAGAAGTGAAAACACTATCATTCGGAAAGCTTGAAAACGTTGAAATTTTAAGCAGGAGATTTTGTTTTTAATCTCAGTAATACGTCATACGGATATATGTGTTAGTCGATTGTGTGTTCATTTATTCCCATGCAGGTATAACGTAAATGTGACATTTCTTCACTTTGTCTATACTACTTGTTGATTGGCTTGCAGCCTTTGTTTTACATGACATTATGCCCAATCTGTTGCTAAGCTAATATAAAGGAACCAGAGCATGTTCTTTCACGCGTCCATAGACAGGACTTAAACATAATGAACGTATACTTTTGTAAACGCATGTCGGTATCTTTCGCATATCACAAACGGTCATTTCCTATCAGTTCAGCTTGCGACAGTGTTAATGCTTCTCTCTATTTAGAGTGCTTTTGGAAGTTTCTTCAAGTAGGAACGAGCATAACAAAGGGCTCAATATGAAACTAACTAGAGGTTCTGATTGTAGCGCCTTTCACCACTTTGAATGAGCGTGATCAAAGCCTGGAAACCAGTATCTTTCAGAATCAAAAACCGCCGTTCAGTGTATTCTCGAAGCTCAACAATAGTCTTCCCATTTACGCATGAAGGTCTACGTGAAAGAATACGGAAAAAGTCGTCATCGATTCACGCCTCTAGAACAAAATCACTTAGAATAACCGGTGAGTTTATCCCAACGAAACCGAACATGGACGACTGATACATTAAAGCCTTGGCATATATACATATATTTAGGCACCAAACTTATAGGCCATCGATCAGGGCCAATTGCTAATCGGCTCAGCTAACTCTGTGCATAGTATAATCGAGAAAAGCCTGAGATAACGATAATGTGGCATTCTGAGCCCGTTATCTAAAAGTCCCGGTGACGCTGTCCATTTTGCCGGTCGTTCCTATGGAAGGGCTAGTGGAGAGAGTAAACAATTGCTGTAGGAGTACCTAGTAGCTCTTCCAAATGATCTGGTTAAATTAGTTTATCGTATCGCCTATTGTGTATCAGGCAAATCCGGTCATATGCAAACAGTATATTATTATATACAAATAGATGTCTTGTGACAAATGCTTACGTTAACGACGCTGTTTCCATTGAGGACCCAAATGAGTCTAGGTTTCGGATGACCAATAACGCGGCACTGGAACTTTGCCCATTCGCCCTCGACTACGACCTGCGGTTCAGGTTTTTGGACGAACATAGGGGCGAACTTTTCGGGCGCCTGTTCGATAACGGTTTCCGTCCTGCGAAAAATAGAAGTGGGTTAGGGTTAAAAAACAAGGTTATGTATTTCTGGCATCTTATTCACTTTTATATATATATAGTAGTATACACAATAGAGTGCTAGGCCTAAACACGACGACACAAATACATGATTATTAACTTTATGGATGTTCTGTTTCTCAGACGTTATCTATAGTTGTCATGTGATAACAGTAAACGACTAGCCTTATTTTTAGTAAATAGCAATAGACTAACTTGTAACCAATTACTAAGATACCGAGCTGGAACATTAGGTCTTCTCTGATTCAGGTCTTTTGTTGAACAAAATTTATTGCGCACATAATCGATTTTCCATTTCTAAAACTGCTTGTGAGCCCTCATGTGGGAAAATTTTTAGACCTAATAGGGCATTATCTGTCACGAATTTTATCACCCGCTTATATATTATAGCTCTGTGCAGTTCCCCTACCTATTTGTCCTTTCACAGTGAACACGTCTACGTGCATAATAGCATCGTTCAACATAGACCTATCCTATGTACGAGCCGCCGACCTATCACGTGTAACAGGCTTCTCAAGATGATGTGTTTCATACGAGAGTTTTGCACTGATCATTATTTATGCGTGCGTATTTATTACGTTGTGTGTAACGCGATGGTCAGAAGGTTCCATAGCGGTATGTAGCTTATGTTACTGTTGGACGTCACAAAAGTTGCTAGGAGCTGTTAAAAACCTCGGAAGCCGTATCATTTGTACGCCGCTTTCTACCTGAGAGGCGGTGGCAATTTCGATTCTTCTAAAACTATGTTCGCGCTTAAAATTAAGCAAGTACTACTAATAACGAATATCTTCAAAAAAGTGGATTCAATTTTATAGAACGATAGAGCTTAGGTCCTCCAAATCCTTAGCAAAGGCTGCAAAGATTCATATCATCGATAGTAATATATATAAAACTTTATATTTCTCTCTCGTATCTCCTTAAGACGGAGTTACGTTGATTTGGCTGCACTACCTTGACGTGACGCCTTCACGGCTTTCATTGTGTTCCATTACGGTACAGAGCAATGTTCTTGAAATAGGAAAACAGAAAAGATATTGGTCGTAACATCGTGGCGTCTCCCATTGTTGTGAGCAACCATTAAGCCTAAGCGTTCTTGACGCTTCAAAGAAATTATATGCCCTATGAAACGTGTCAGTTATCCACTGGAATCATTTCGTTATTTAAATTGAATTCTAGTGAAGTTCCTGCCTCGATGAATATGAAGCCTAGGCCTTTTGTAGCCTCATATACCTCTGTTTCGTAATCTCCATTTCGGCAATTTTCCGCACGCCTTCCTTCATCGTCATGGGCAATTGGGTTCGATAGTCGAGTTTTGGTTTGCCCATACATTCGAGAGTTGCCCGTGTTTGATCGGAGCCAAGTTCGCTAACAGCCTTTGCTACGTATTCACCCGAATCCTCAGCGTAACAGTATAGAATGTCCAGTGCCACAAAGCCAAAATCGTGCGTGGTCTTATAGCGATGCCCAGATATGAGGGGAGAGCCGTTGTGGAACCACTCGACACGCAGTTTTGGGTCGGAGGTCGGCTCTAGACGACACTCAAAATGTGCACTGTCGCCTTCCTTCAATCCATGTTGCGGTTGGATTTGCGTGATGAAATGAGGCGGTGTCGGTGGCTTATCGTCAGAGGGTGTCTGATGTGTCGGTGGATTCTCCAAGCCACGTAATCGAGCCAAGTCAATGCTCTGAGGCAATTGAGATTCCAGAATAATGTTTGCTTTCGCTGCAAGTCATAGATACATAAAAGTTACAATTAGTAATAATCAGAACTTTGGCGGTGTCTCTACGGCTTTTTTTTTACAGGAACGTTCTCACCAGAAAGCGGCGAGCAAAAATAATCGAGGACGACGCTTACATTTTACGGTGAGTGTGCACTTTGTGGTATCCGATCCCCACTTGTTTGTCGCGCGACACATGTACTCTCCGCTATCTCGGGGGAACAACCAGTCGATTTCAAGTACAACAAAACCAAAGTCATCAACTGTGTGAACTCGGGAGCCGGTGATAAGAGGAGCCCCGTTCACAAACCATTCCACCTGTAACGATGTAGTATAAACGTATTGAAAAAAAGATAGCCATCAACAAGATCGCTAAGCGCGTCAATCTAATGATTTAATTATCTCTAAGTATCCCTAATACATTACACACATTTTAACAACAATCTATTACAAACCTTCATGGTAGGGTCGCCGACAGGAAGCAGCTTACACTCAAAGTGTGCGTTATCACCTTCGACGCGCTCATAGGTTTGTGTTAACTGAGTAACAAACTTGGGCGCTTCGCGTTTTTCCCCTTCAAGTGTTTGTGACGTTTTCTGATAACGGGATTCTTCTAGAACCTTGATACCATCTACCGTGAAGCCCTCAGGCAGCTGAGAATCGAGAACGATTGATTGTTTACTTTTAATACTCAGCTGACAACTTACGGACGCTTCACCTTCCCGGTTGACGGCACGACACGTATACACTCCGGCATCACGGGAATACACTCCGGCGATTTCGAGGATGACAAAACCGAAATCCGAAATGCTCTTGACTCGCGACCCCGTTACGAGAGGCTTACCGTTATGGAACCAGTCGACGCGAAGGTTCGGATCATTTGCAGGTCCTACGCGACACTCAAAGTGTGCAAGTCCATTCTCAACGAGTGAAAGGTCAGACGGGGAACTGAGGAACTGAGGTGGTCCCGTGCATGTGTATTCACGCTGTTCGATGTGTTTATGTTGTGCCATTCGTGACTCAATTTGTGCCATCTTATGGATTCCATCACGCATATCTAACGGCAATTGAGTGTCGCTAATTATGCTTCGCTTACTCTCACAATGCACAGTACATGATGTAACCGCCTCGCCGAACCGATTACGAGCTTTGCATGTATACACTCCTGAGTCTTCAGGATATACAGGTGATAACTCAAGTACAACGAAGCCAAAATCGTTAATGGTGCGGATTCGAGTTCCGGAGCGCAGTGTGGCTCCATCTTTGAACCATTCGACGGTGAGGTCGGAGTCATGTGTAGGCGTAACATGAGCTTCCAAGTGCATGTTTTCGCCTTCGCGCAGTGCGGGAATATCGTCCAGAGGTTTCGTAAAGACGGGCGCCTCCTGAGCGTCACTAACTGATACCGCCGAAACGCTTCGCATCAATGAGCGTTCAAGACGGGTGAGCTTTTCCTGTCCGCCAGCCATTTCAACAGGCAGCTGCGATTCGAGGATCAAAGTTGAGTTCGCTGAAATGATCAATTACGTGGAAAATATCAGCTACATTTCGAAGCAAAGTTTTCCCTTGATAAATTAACAACGATATAGCAGTAATTGGGTTATATACTATTATCAGGCATATAATTATTATAACTTTTAACAGTATAATCTAATTTCTTCTGTTGGTGGTTCCGTTCACCTTCACTACAACAAATTCTGAAATAATATAGGAGCAGTGGACTTACATTTGCAGGTGAGCGTTGCGCGAGTGATGTCTGTGCCATGTTTATTGGTCGCCTTGCATACCCATTCACCGGAATCCTCTCCGTAACAGTAGAGGATATCGAGTACAACTACACCAAAATCATGAAACGTGCGAAACCGGTGACCAGAACGCATGAGCTGGCCATTGAAGTACCATTCAACCCTGAGGTCAGGATCGTTAATGGGTGTAAGTTGGCACTCAAAGTGGGCACTCTGGCCCTCCATGAGGCCAGTTACGTTTTGGATATGAGATACAAACTTGGGTGCTTCTTGAATGGACGAATCGACCTTGGTCACGGTGCGCGATTTCATGCCTTCCATGCGGGTAATTTGTTCCATGCTTCGTGGTTGTAGTGAGTCAAGGACTAGTTTGCCAGAGCTAGCACAGTCGATAGTGCATTTAGTCGTGTCGGATCCGTATTTATTCGTAGCAACGCATACGTATTCGCCAGAATCCTCGTGATGAACGTAGGAAATGTCCATGACGACAAAGCCAAAGTCAGACAAAGTTTTGATTCGAGAACTCTCCGGAAGGGGTTCTCCATTTTTGAACCATTCGACACGAAGATCGGGATCGCCTACCGGCGTAATATGGCACTCTATATGCACGCTTTCGCCTTCACGCAGCCCGCTCATAGTGGATAGTGGCGTTGTAAACTTGGGTCTTTGTCCTTTTTGTTTGTCAACGCACTTCAGATCAACACTAATTTCAGCTGTACCCCACGCGTTCTTAGCCTGGCAGGTGTATTTGCCTGAGTCTTCAATGACGACGCCAAGGATCTCCATCAGAACGATTCCAAACGCATGAACAGTACGGATACGATGGCCCATTTCAATAGGTCGGCCATTAAAGAGCCACTCGACAGTCATTGTCTGGTCGCCGACGGGTGAAAGCATCGCCTCAAAATGGGCTATTTCGCCTTCGGTCATATCGGTTAGGTTAGTAAATTGTGAGGTGAACAGAGGAGCTTGTCCCCTTTCCTCTGTAGTCTGTTCAGTAGTTTTCACCATCGACTCCTCAAGCGATTGGATCGACTCGAGACCTTTAGCGCCTTCTGGGTGTTGAGTCGTCTCAATAATGCTTTTCGCCGGTTTGCATTCGATAGTAGTTGTAGTAAAGGCTTTTCCGACCTTGTTTTCAGCTTGGATTGTGTAGACACCAGAGTCACGCGCCCAGAAATCTTTGATTGTAAGGTTAACATAACCAAATTCATTGGTCCATAGAAAACGGTTGGCTTCTTCCAAGGCTTTTCCATTGAAGAACACTTCCACCTTAAGATCGGGATCAGTGGATGGTTCTACGCGGCATTCAAGGGTTACGCTCCGGCCTTCGTCCACGGTCAACTTCGGTTCAAGAAGTTGAGTAAAGACAGGTTTGTTGAACACCTTTTCAGGAACTGGCTTAACAGAGATATACTTGGTACTCCAGGTGTCCTCTACTTTCTGAATACTAGACAAGCCCTGCTCGCCCGTTGGATGTAGCGTGTCAAGTTGGACGGCTGCTTTATCGATAACCTTAAGCGAAGCTGTCGTGGTAGCTTGACCCTTGTTGTTTGTTGCACGCACTGAATAAATGCCGACATCGTTCGACGAGATGCCTTGGATATCGATCGTTACCAAACCAAAATCTTGCTTCGTCGTAATGCGCGATCCACTGCGAAGGGGTTGCTGGTTATGAAGGAATTCCACCTTCAAGGTGGGATCTTTGGCAGGTTCCACGCGGCATTCGAATCGTGCATGTTGGCCTTCGGTGAGCTCCAGGTCATTGATGTGTGATACGAACACAGGCATTTCAAAAACTGGCTCAGCTATTTCTCGGGGTGTCGGGGCCTGATATGCTTCCATCTCGCGGATGCGCTCAAGACTTTCGGGCTGCAGAGATCCAAGTAGTAACCCAGAACTGCCTTCCACCTTGACAGTACAAGTGGAAATTGCTTCGCCCGACTCATTGACGGCATGGCAAGTATAAAGGCCAGAATCCTCTGAGCGTGCACCACTAATGTCGAGCGATACCATCCCGAAGTCGTGAATTGCCTTGATTCTAGCACCAAACGTAAGAGGCTGTTGGTTCTTATACCATTCAACCTTCATTTTCGAATCTTTAGAAGGTTCTACTCTGCCTTCAAGTCGAATGTATTGGCCTTCAGAAGCCCCCTTAACGGACTCCAGCTGTTTTATGAATACAGGGCACGGCATAGACGCATCAGGGCGCTCTTCAGCTTTTTTCTGCGAGAGTTCATACTCGTATTGCTGCATAATACGATATGCTTCAGGATGCAGAGCTTCTTCCTGTACGGATGCCTTTGTTTTAACGCGAAGTGATGTGCTGGTTACGGCTTCACCGGCACGATTCATAGCTTTACACATGTACACTCCGGAATCTTCTCCACGTGCGAATTGAATATCCAGAGTAATATGACCAAAATCTTGATTGAACACCATCCGCGAGGCGTTTTCAATAACATTACCATTGCAAAGCCATTGGAATTTGAGGTCCGGATCTCCGATAGGTGTGCAGCGACATGCTAGACGTACTGCGGTGTTCTCATTAATCTCTGAAGGACCCAGCAGCGGCTCTGTAAACACGGGCTTTTCAAAAACTACCGCCGGTGCATCGTGTACTTCGTACACTTTGCCGGTCTCCAGTTCTCGAATCGCTTGAAGACTTTGTGGTTGCTGTGATTCCAGTTGGATAGAGTCCTTGCCTTTAATCTTGACATTGCAAGATGTTACTGCTTGTCCTTGGCTGCTTGTAGCCCTGCAGGTATATACACCCTGATCTTCGGGTCTAACGTAATCAATTGTAAGGCTCATAAAGCCGAAGTCGCTAATCGCATGCATGCGTGATCCCTCGTTAATAGGCTGATCATTTATAAGCCATTCTATCTTCATAGTGGGATCACCTACAGGGATTAGACGTGCCTCTAAGCGACACGGCTGGTTTTCTGTCAAGTCAGCATTCTTCAATGGTTGTGTGAATTCGGGCCTCTGGAACACGGGTGCAGCCACTTCATAATCAGTTTTGTTGATTTTTCCCTCGATCTCGCGGATGCTTTGCATGGACTGTGGGTGGAGAGATTCAAGTTGAACAGAAGACTTGCCTTGCACAGTAACATCCATTGCTGTTTGCGCCGTCCCAAGGCGATTAGTGGCCCGCACTGTGTAATTACCGCTGTTCTCAGGGTAAACATAAGCCAAATCGATAGCGACGTAACCAAAGTCTGTTGTAATTCGTGTCTTGTTGGCTGCCTGCAGTGGCTTCCCGTTATGGAAAACTTCAATCTTCAAGTTCGAGTCATGTGCAGGCTCGACGCGGCACTCCATGTGAGCAATTTGGCCCTCAATCAATTGAGTCGGTCCGCGCAGTTCTGTTATGAACGCAGGTTTCGATACAGGCTTGTCCTCTATTTCTACTTTGCGGAACTTCTCGATCGACTCAAGTTCTTGAATGCGCTGTACACTTTGTGGATGTTGCGTATCGAGAATAAGGCTGCGTCGATTTTTTGCGGAGACATTGCAAGTTGTGACAGCCTCTCCCAGCTCGTTACTGGCCTTGCACATGTAGGTACCTGAATCTTCACCATAGCAGTGCAGGATATCTAGAGCAACATAGCCGAAATCGCTCGTAGTTCTAAAGCGTGAGCCTTGCTTTATTTCAACGCCGTTCACAAACCATTCGATTTTCAATTTCGAATCATTGATTGGTTCGACACGGCATTCAAGATGGATGGGTTGACCTTCCACAAGGTTGTCGACCGATGTGAGAGGTTGGGTGAAAACTGGCTTCACCTGTTGAACAGGCTTCTCCTCTCGAACCAGTGATGCAGGTTGATCAAGGTTGTGCAGTCTCTGAAGGCCGTCTTCACTAATGTTCGAATCGGTTATGACGCCAGCCTTACCAGTAACGCGAACTTGGGATGATGTTACAGCCTCACCAAGGGCGTTTGTCGCTTTACACATGTACACGCCACTATCACGGGGTTGGACATGCGTGATGTCCAATGCTACATAGCCAAAATCGCAAACGGTACGGTGACGTGCTCCAGCTGCAACGGGCGTTCCGTTATGAAGCCATTCGATTTTTAGTTTGGGATCATTTGTCGGAGTGATCGTAGCTTCCAGATGAGCACTCTGGCCTTCAGTCAGATTATCCAGGTTGTTTAGTCCACGTACAAACTGTGGCCGTTCGTTAACAGTTTTCTCGATAAATTCAGCACGCTGGTATCCCATAGTTCCCTCAAGCCGGCGAATGGCATCAAGGGATTCAGGCTGTTGTGATTCGAGGATTAAACTGCCAGTGGCAGCCACCTGAAGGTTGATGCTTGATACTGCCTGACCCAGTTGGTTCGTCGCACGGATGGTATATTCGCCACTATCATCTGGTCGTGCAGAGAGGATGTCGAGCGCTACAAAGCCAAAATCTGTCACCGTTCTAAAGCGATGACCCTGTTCAAGAGGCTGGCCATTGTGTAGCCACTCATACTTCATTGTTGAATCGGGAAACGGTTCAACATGACACTCGTAGTGAGCAGCCTGGCCTTCGACCACCTGGAGAGGACCAGTCAGTTGGGTCACAAAGCGTGGTGCAGCTTTGCATGGCGCGTCCTCTTTGGGGGCCGCGCGAGGTTTACCCAGCTCGAGCTGCTGGATGGCATAGAGACTGTCGGGCTGCAACGAGGTTAAAACTAGAGAGCTTTCGCCCTGGACCACGAGCTGAGCGGAGCAAACCGCCTCACCGATTTCATTAACGGCACGACAGGTATACGTGCCCGTATCTTCAACTTTGGCACCTTTGAGGTCTAACGCGATAAATCCAAAATCACTGACTGTAGAGATTCGCGATGACTGGTTTAAGGGAATTCCGTTCTTTAGCCACTCTACCTTCATCTTTGGATCCCCGAGTGGTGTTAGACGGCATTCGAAGTGTGCGTTTCCATTCTCGCGAATAGTCACATTACGCATAGGATTGGAAAAGACAGGCGCCTGCGTCTGCGTCTCCTCCTGGTAAGACTTATGTTGGTAACGTGTATGATCTTCAAGGTAGCGGATTTGCGCAAGCGAATCAGGCTGTTGTGAATCAAGAATAAGGCTCTGTTGTGAGGCACATGAAAGGTTGGCAGACACGATAGCTTCACCAAGAGCGTTCGTTGCTCGACAAGTATAGACGCCGGAATCCTCCGCGTGCGTCGTCATGATGTCAAGAGCGACAAAGCCGAAGTTAAAGAGCTCAACGAACCTCGATCCCTGCTTAACAGGCTGACCGTTGTGTAGCCATTCAACCTTAAGGCGGGGATCACCTACAGGAATGAGGCGGCACTCGAAATGTGTTCGCGCCCCCTCGACAACATTAGCGTTTTGGGGTGCTACTGTAAACACCGGGGCTGTAGTAATAGCTTGATCTGTTATCTCCGGCTTAGCAAAGCGATGGCCTTCGAGCTGTGCGATCTTTGCAATGCTATCCGGGTTCTCAGTAGTTGTAATAATGGACGATTCATCGGTGGCTGTAAGCGTTGTTGAGACTTCGGCCGTACCTAGTCGATTTGTGGCACGGCACGAGTAGCACCCACTGTCAGCCGACGTTACGGAAAGGATATTGAGTGCCACATATCCAAAGTCGTGGAATGGACGGAAGCGGTGTCCGATCGGAAGAGGTCTGCCGTCCTTGTACCATTCAACCTTAAGGTCGGGATCGTTAACTGGCTCCAGACGACACTCGAAATGAGCGGACTGACCTTCAGTTAATGATTGTGGCTTGGGCTGAGAGATGAATTGTGGCTTGGTTTTGAGTAGTTCCTCGTGATATGATTCGCGTACATGCGTATGCTCTAACGGTGCGATTTGACGCAGGACCTCAGAATTCTGGCCTTCATTCTGAACTATTTGGCCAATCGAAATAACCTGCACACTACAAGATGTGGTGATCTCACCCTGCTTGTTCACCGCACGACAAGTATAAACTCCACCATCTTCCGCATAAGCCGAAAGAATGTCAAGTGCCACATAGTCGAATTCATGTGCCGGTCGGAAACGATGTCCAACAGTTATCGGTAGATTGTTTTTGTACCATTCAACCCGCAGGGATGGGTCCTGGGCAGGCTCAAGACGACACTCGAGATGGACGTTATTGCCCTCGCATGTTTCAATGTTATGCAACGGTTTTCTAAACTCTGGTCGACCAAATACTTGCACAAGGTCTTCTTCTTTACGTCGTTGTCGCGATTCTAGCCGCTGAATCTTCTCAAGTCCTTCGGGATACTGGCTTTCCGAGATAACACCTGAATGACCGATTACCTTAATCGACGCTGAGGTAAGGGTTGAGCCAAGATGGTTTGTAGCACGTACAGTGTATTGTCCAGAATCCTCTTCGGTCACACCGTTAATCTGTAGTATGATGTGGCCGAAATCGGTTTTTGTAATGATGCGCGATGCTGGTGTTAATGGGCGTCCATTATAAAGCCATTCAATCTTCAAGGTTGGATCGCTTGCGGGTTCGACCTTGCATTCAAGGAATACCTTGTCATCCTCATTGTATGGTTTGTGGATATCCTTTAATGGAGTAGTAAAGTATGGTTTAGTACTAGACATATCTTCGTCCTTTGCATGTGTTGTGGCGTGCCGGGTGCTGCGCTCGGTCGAAATGATATCCGTGATCGAAGTGCTATCGATCGAGCTCTGTGCCTGTACCGTCACCTGTTTTGATAAGCGGGCTTCTCCCATTTCGTTGCGAGCCACTACTGTGAACGTACCACTGTCTTCCGGGTACATATAGAGTACGTCCAATGCCACGTACCTTTAATTGATAATAATAATAATAAATAGGGCTTAGTTGGCATCGTCATAAGAAAATGGAGACGATCTTTAAAAAACGGCGTACTTCAATTTCGTTATCGGTGTAACAACTGTCGACTACTGTAGATCGCCAGCAAGACAACGAGATTAATGTTAGCGAATCTGGTAATCGAGAAAGGTATGATTAAATTCTGATTGAGACCAACTATCTTAAAAAAAGAACTAACAACAAGGAGCCTAATGGATATATGTCATGGATACCAAAAACATTGCCACCTTACCCGAAATCTGAGTAGGTCTTGAAGCGATGTCCTGTAATGAGTGGTTTTCCGTTATGGTACCATTCTACCGTCATCGATGAATCTCCCATTGGTTCCAGCCTATTTGAAAACCATACAACAAATAAAGAGTCGACATTTTATAATAGATCCAAATTGCTTTTTGGAACCACTTTCTATCGGGAAAAGCCTAGCTCAATACATTTTCTTTAGTAAATTGCATTTTGTTCTTCAAATTAAGTGGTTTTCTTATGTAACAACAACAAACTTGTCCTTTCTTGCGTGCTTTCTATTTGAGTTATACTCACCTTGTTTCAAAATGGGCACTTTGGCCCTCAACAAGCATGCCATTGCCCTTGAGTTCCTCGAGGAATTGGGGTCGCTGGGTAACCGCATATATCTGCTCTTCTTGTTTTCGGTCGTAATGAGAATAATCTTCGATATGTTGAGTTCTCTCCAGGCCTTGTCGATGATGTTGCAGTAAAGTGCTGCCAGTTTTAACCTAACAACGGAATAAAAGGTGTACATTAGGAAAACCGGAGATGAGGCATCTGAAATCCGGGAAACACTCGAAAGCCGGCATCAAACCTTACTAAAGTATGTTTTAACATTACGGAAACGATCGTTGAACTCACACAAAATTGTATAATCTGTTTTTTGTAAGAAAGTAACGTGCTTTTGTGTTTGTCTTACCTTAGTGCTGATGCATGTTAAATTTGCGGTCGCAGATGCGATTCCCATTCGGTTAGTAGCTTGCACAGTGTATGTGCCAGAGTCACGTTCCTCGACCTGCGAAATACGCAGAGACACGTAGCCGAAGCTGTACGTGCAATACGTGCGTGAGCCTAGAACGAGATACAGGAAAAGTTTGCAAGATGATTAGTGAGGATGTATTAACATGCAAAAAAGACAACCGATTCAACGACCAAAGCGTCATTAGAGATATGTTAGACGTTTTTCTTCTTGTTGTTAATACTTATGTCGAAGACCCTATCATTTTTATTGAGGATCTAAAATTACTCAGTGTCATTTATTAATAGTAAATCACCTACCATAATATGCCATAAAGAAATAAAAGAAAACTAATGGATTTACGTACTAGCTTCAAGTGGTTTCCCATCCTTGAACCACTCGACTCTCATAGATGAGTCCTCAGAGGGCTCCAGCCGAGCTTCGAACAGTACAGTCTTGCCCTCCTTTTAGGCACAACGTAAACAAGACAACAAATGACTCAATATGATGAGAAAAAAACTGGGGTACAGTTGAACTATAATTTAACTTAACACTGACTTATATTTGTATATTGTTCCATGATAGATACAATTCTAATCCACGAACGCAACTGTAATACATATTGCTCTTAAATACAGAATAAGTGTATGTCAGTTGGTAATCATAATTACTTCATTTTGTAACCCTAATTTTAGCTACACCCCGGACATTTATGCTCAGGTTGCAAGATAGTGCATGCTGATGCAATGTATGTAGAAGAAGTACCTGTACGTTCTGCTGATCGCGAGGCTGTGATTTAAATACGGGTGCCTGAGAAGGCTCCTCAAGGTCTTGCCACTGAAATGATAATAGAAGTTAAGATTCATTAATATTATGCGAAAATCACAGATATTTCTAATAATGAGAAATTAAATCATTGGAAATTGCTGAGAACGCCTTTGAAACGTGCATTGTATAGTCTTAGAGAAGGTCTACTAAGAACGGACTCGTATACGAGGATCCTATTGTATAAAGCTAAATGCAAAGTAAAGTAACTAACTTCGTGTCTCGTTTTGTGTTGGGTCTCCCTATAGCTTTCTAGCTGCTGAATGTATCTCTGCTGCTCTTCGTTGCCTGCTTGGTCCATTACCGGGGACACCACCTGCAAAAAGGTACACAGATAATGTAACGTTTACAGGAGGAAAATGCTTATTGCTATTCTCTAAAATCTACCTTTTTTGTATTCAATAAATGCTAACATAAATGCTATATTAACTAGTAATTATCAGATTAAAACGCTATGCAGGTAATGGAAAGAGTTTTTTTTAACATCAATAAAGTATTGGTGGCCCTATAGGCGAACCTTGAGGGTGGCTGTGGATAGGGCATCCCCTCTGGCATTTGTGGCCTTGACCATATACACTCCGGAATCCTCATAACGGAGAGTCGATATGTTCAGGGCGACGTAGCTGTAGAACAATGAAATCAAGTGTTGTTGAAAGCTGTTAGTCATAAACTGGTGATTACGAGAGATCCACACTCTAAGCTAGGACAAAAATATACCCAAAAAAAAATAAGGCGACTTGAAGGAAACATCACAGCTCTACGAGTTAAACGAAAAATATGCCCTAGCAATAACGGCAATGCAGAAATATTCTACCAACGCGGCTCATTCGTAATAAGAGAAAGTGTATTGTCCTTATTTCAGTCCTTACCCAAAGCTAAATGTAGTGTTGATCCGGGAGGACGATGTCAGGGGCCTGCCATTGACAAACCACTCAACCCGCATTGTGGGGTCATTTACGGGCTGGATCTGGGCCTCAAATCGCGCGAAGCTGCCTTCAATTATGTTTTCAAGGTTTTCCAGTGGTTTGATGAATGTTGGTTTTTGTTGTGGTCCACTGTCGTCACTGAATTGTCGTTGAACGCGTTGATGCTGTTCGAGCTGTTCGATAGCTATGAGCGAGTCTGCATTGATGGTACTTGCATCGACGGCCGGACGCGCTGCAAAGAACAAGTCAGGCACAGATATATCTTTTGTATTTTTAATATAATGTGTTGTTCTAGTTCATGCTATAGATCTTCATAGGAAACCAGCTATTTATAAGTAAACATTTGTTGATGTCCGCCCCGGCCGACATGATTTTTACGACTGAAGTTTAGAGTCACAAAAAGAAGTAGACCATTGAATGTAAGCACACTAAAGTTAGCGTCGGTAATTAAGTTCTACATTGAAACTTACGCATAACTTTAAGTGATGCTGATACGGTCGCTTCGCCGGCTTGATTACTTGCACGGCAAAGAATTACTCCACCATCTTCGCAGTAGGTATTAAGCATTGTTAGAGCGACGTACCCAAATCGGTTCACGGTCATCACTCGCGATCCTGCTCCAAATCAATTAGTTGACAATTTTCCGAAATTATTTCAATGTCATATATTTTATTTATATTTATTTACAAATCATTAAACATTATCGAGGGCACATCGATTAACTAAACTGTTCTTTACATAATTCTAAATGAATGACTAAAAATATAACCTGGCGGGTTTGTTCGGATATCAAACTTACCGGCTTCAATCGGTCGACCATTGACAAACCACTCGACAACGAGTGTGGGATCACCTATTGGTATGAGGCGCGCTTCAAAGTGTGCGCGTTCGCCTTCGGTGACGACGAGGTCCTGCAGATGTGAAGTGAAAGCAGGCTTTTGAGGTGGTGCATCTTCAGGTGTCTTAGATAGCTCGGTCCGTGGCCGCTCCCAGTGTTTCAACACGACAGTTTCTGGTGCCGGAGGCTGTTGGGGCTCAATAACAGTCGTTGCAGGTGGCAGGTTCAGCGACCACGGCGTTGTCAGCTGCCGAGGCAACATTTCAACATGTAGACGTGCTCGTGTTGCCGTGGAGCCGGCTTGATTTGTTGCTGTACATTGATACCATGCGCCGTCAGCAAGAGTGGCGCGATCGATGTGCAAAGACGAACAACCTTCGGTAGCCTCAATGAGGACGTGCGGTGGTGCCGAATGTATCTGTACGCCGTCTTTCAACCAAAGCAATTGCGGCATTGGAGTTCCAACCGCTCGGCAGTGAAGCGAAACTGGTTCACCCTCTTGTACGTTGACGTGTTGGAAACGCTCAACGAACTTTGGTGGGACAATCAGTTCTCGCTCTGTATCGAGATACGAGAATAAATTCATCAGGTCCCATCACTAATACTACTCATATCATACTAGATCATATTGGCGATATGCAAGAGACGATCTTAATAATAATAATGAACTAAAGTTCCTTATACGTATTTGTGCTATCTAACCTATATAACAACAGAGGTTTCAATTTTCTAATTTAACGATTCAATAAACATCGCAACACAACATACCGATGACGGTTAGGGTAACGTCACAGCGGCGTTCACCGCTTTTGTTTCGTACAACGCACGTCCACATTCCTGCATCGGACGCCTGCGCATCGTTGATTTGAAGGGCGTGAAGTCCACCCTCATTGACGAGAATCTTGTGGGCGTTGTCATCGCAAACCTGCAGACCGTTACGGTACCATAGTACTTCAGGTGTAGGACGGCCTGACACTCGACAGTCAAATCGCACCTGATGGCCTTCCGTCACTTCGCGGTCCGTAGGTAGCTTTATAAAAGATGGCTTTAAAGCTTGGGAGTCCTCTATCTCGGCGGACTCGGTCATCGATTGCGTGTGAGAAGGAAGTCGATATTCGGCGGACGTGCTGTTTTTAATGACGGACAGAAATTTGACAAAATAGATCGCATTCTTATTGTATTTTCAATCTACGTAGCCTATTTTGAAGAAAACTCATTCGAACTGGGTCATAACAAGATGCAGAAAACACTGTAATGAGTAGTGCAAAGTGGGTTTTTATGTAAGATTTAAGCTTGCTATGACTTGAGTATATAGGGAATGAGTTTTTACATGTTGGTATTTAGTGAACAGTGGACATTGAACATTTTACATAAACATGTTTCATGTGAACGAGTTCTTTTGGGCTGCAAGTGAATCAAAGATCGAACCTAAGTGGGCATGACTCGTTCAAGCATTTAACATAGGTCAGCGGTAGGCCTTTTTTCCTCATAGGAGTTTTAAGGGATCACTGGTTCATATTTATAGCATAACTCTGAGGTTTTTTGATATCGGTCGATGCTATAAGTGGAAGTATTTAGTGTGCGAGGGTATTTGATGTCAGTAAAAAAAATCGCTCTTTCGCGCATGCACGAGACGTTTCTGGTATCGTTTGATATCGCAAGTGCAGTTGCCGCTTGCTTTTCTCTGACCTGTGCAGATCCTATTTTATCATCTCCTACTCACTGTGCCTGGTATAGGTTAGCAGTGTCCTGCTGTTGGCTGAATGTTGCTTGAAGGTGTATCGTGCTTGTGGTTATCTGGGTTATCTGTTGCTCTAATTGCTCTTGTTCCTGTGTTTTCCAACTTGACAAAGGACTAGTTATTCCTTGCCAATACCTCATGTTATCCTCGATGACAAGATGCACCGATGTGGCCACGCGGCCCTTCGAGTTTTCGGCGAGCATTGTATAGTAGCCGGCATCGTCGGCTTGACAGTTTCGTATGGTGAGCGTTGCAGTACTATCACTGTAGGAAGAAACGTGTCGGAATGAGCTTTTAATACGCTGTCCATTACGGAACCACGTAATTCGTGGGTCGGGATTTCCTGGCACGCGAACCTGGAAAGTCGCGTCGGAGCCCGCTAAAAGCTTCGAGTTGCGTGGTCGTCCTTGAACTTGTGGCGGGGCAAGAGGACGCGACTTGTGCACCACCTGCAGTCAGAGAAAGTTCATAGAATTTGCATAATTCAAGTAACAAAGTTTTTTTTTTCTATTCCTTTTATTACATGTAATCTCCTATCTTTATCTTTTTGATCCTCCAAATTACCTCTCTGTATTCAGTGACGTCTGTTTCTTCGATGTTAATTTTCATAAGAGACTCTCGGAACTCGTCCTCGCGAAGAAGCCGATACTCAAATGTGTCTACTCTAAAGGCTTGATCAGCACCATTGTGATAGCTCTGCCGAAGATCACTGAAGACCGTTGATGAAGAACGGACCACCTTTTGTTGCGGTGGGGGTAGCTGAAAGGGCGCTGACGAAACGCCTATCTGCTGGTTTATTGTCGTTGTCTTGGTACGCTGTTGAATCATCTGTTGGGCCGCTATTCTCAAAATAATTTTACAAATGCGTATGGTTAGATTTGGGCTTCTTTTGAAATGGGATTTTTTCGTTAATGTGCGACGTGCGCACCATTATAGATACCAAGAGACTAAATTGAGTTAGTTAAATAATATAGGTTGATACCAATGAGTTCACACGTTATCCACCTAAATATCAGATATACTGTTTAGTCGAAACATTTCAGTTACTAAAGATAAATTTCTTCTGCGAAAAGTCAACTCAATAAGTTTTGTGAAAAGTTATTACTTAGTTAGCCAACAATTTTCTAACTGTAGTAACTAATTTGTTTAATTTTTAAAATTAAATTTAAAGATAAATTTAATATAATTTAACGGATGAAAAGTTGCAATATGGCACTATAAGAAGTAAATTACATTTACCTGTAAAGTCTCTGACAACTGCAACAACTAAAATGGCCTCTCCGGCAACATTTACAGCTGTACATGTATATTCTCCATCGTCTTCCGCAGTAATTTGTCTAATAAGTAGATAGGTTTCACCGGTAATAGGGTTGTATCCGGTTTCGCGTCTATTCAACGATAAACACAAACATACATAAACATCAGTATTGTCATAGTACTCTCAAAATATTTGTTTGTTGTAACTCTTTTTTCTTTGGCAATTAATTTTACTAGTGACGTGTGTTAACTGTTTATGTCAGCTGAAGCCCTAATCATTGCCGAGCGTATCGTAACGTATCACGTACTTGTGATCATTCTTAATAGGTAGTCCTCTGCGGGACCAGACGAGCTGTGGCATCGGATTGCCGCTGACCGTTGCATCGAAACGGGCATCGCAGCCCTCGATAAAGCGTCCGCCTGTAGGCTGACGCACCCAAATTGGGGGGCTATTCGTCATACTGCTTAATGGGTGTGGTCTTTTTTCTGCAGCACTGAAAACAAGACATAGATATACATTAGTTGTTTTTACGTGAAAGATCTATGTATCAAAATAACGTGTGGTCCAAAGATTTGGATGGTTCAAAAGCAGAACAATTTGATAATAAATAATAATAATAATTCACTAAAGGTGCTATTAATCATTCCATAACAACCAAGTAAGTTTTTTGAAAGGATTCTATCCAGCCTAGACATGGACTAAAGCCAGTAATCTTTTATTTCAATTGGCAATTGGAATCGATATCTGCTTTTTGTTCAATCAGACGGTTTATTGAACCTCAAACGTATACGATTTACGACTAAAGAACTTATGGCCAACGAAACAACAACACAATGACCCATATTATGTAGTGATTCCCGTTATTCCAAGCAAATGATATTTGCTTCACCATAATTAATATGGCTCACAACGAGTCTGATATGGCTCAACCTATGCTTCGTGTACTAGCAGCACCAGATTTTCTATTTCCCATCTTCACTGCTTTGCTCTATCTCCCTTAGCCTTAGTCTGGCGACGGACCTATTGCTCGAGGCACTGGCCCTGGCTTCGAGTCATATGCCTGTTTTCCGGCGACCCTTTCGTCTTCCGGGCCGAGTTTTGGGACAGGGTTAGCTGGCAGTTCATTTTCTCGCACAGCGGCCAGTTTCTAGGTGGTTACGACCCATACAATGCAGACTATGAACAAATTTGAAGGAAGGCGACTGTGCCCAGAGACCTTTAGCTGCCCATTCACCGTTTTTGTAAACAGGCACGAAACTCTCTGCTAGCCGACTGGAAATCTTTGAGGAGCTTTTCATAGACTATCGGGACAGCACTACTGGCCAAGCCTTACGCCGAGATTCCAGTTCTCTACTTTAGATAAGGCTTTAAGCTGGCTTTACAGGAAGAACTAGCTGTTGATTTCCTTGTACCAAATGAAAACTTACTAGCTCTACAGTTGGTTTTCTCTGCACACAGAATGAAACTCCAGGACGTAAGTCTAAACTCCTATACGCTGAAGCTAAGACCAATTCAAGCAAATATCTTTATATGTTTACTTGAATATGCTAGGAAAAGCGAAAGCTATATTTTTATACCTAAGGCTAGTCTATTGTAAGCTTGTTGTGAAACACATGTAAGCCTTGTTTCGACGCAGAAGACCTTGGAGGGCTCTATCGGTCAACTAGCACTGCAAACGTCCTACTGAATTAACAAGTGTATCTGCATCTCTCAGAGCTTCCTTTAATGAGAAGAGTTCACTAATGAATTTCTGAGAACGGCGTTCAGTTTTTTAGCTGCTTGCTGAAGTAAGCAAGTTGAATCCGGCGTATGCATCCTTATCGATACGCTTATAGACTCTATGATTCTACTAAGTAGGTAACACAATCTACCACTGGATAGTATATATTCCGCGTGTAACATCAACAATAATAAGCTAATACTATAGAAAAAAAAAAAATAAACTATCGTATCGGCGAAATTATCAGACCGTTACGACAAGTGACGGCCAGCTGAAAACCAAAGCACTGCAAATGAGGCTGTCGTTAGAATTTCTACACCTGGCTTACCCGGTCCTCGGCCCTAAAATACATCCCAAATAATTGTCGCGAGGCACAAAAATATGCAGGGATACTAAGCTAGCGCTGATCCGATTGTATAGCTCGAAGTTCAGCATCCATGACACGAGACGAATTATAGGATTTATCTACCAACCGGCTAACTGAATCCTTTGGGAGTCGCTAGCGGTTACAGATCACTCGGGTCAACTTTGAACATGACATTGGTACGACATGTACTCAGAGGTATCGTGTAGACACAATCAATTTATATCAACACCACAATATGTTCATTTCGATTGACTGCTAGGCAGATCAATCAGACCAAAATCGATACCGAGGTCGATGTAGACGAACAGTTCTACTTCATCCCCATTCAATGTACCTAATGCAAGCTAGTATCAGCCACCAGAGCTAACGGCATCGTTAAACCGACAAAATTTAGAAGATTCTCATTAAAAATTTAGAGGCATTAGAACATCGACATGACCTTGCAGAACGCTGTCTGGTTATCCGCCCATCTAAAACTGACATTGCCAGCATCCCTGATGGAACGAATTATAACTAATACGGTACTTGATCATCTTCGATTAACTAGATTCAAGTACTCGTAATGTATTAGTACCGTATACAGAGCTGTTTAGTAAGGGCATCAACTCTAGAATGTTTTAGAGCTAGTAAAGTACTAGACAAAAACTACAGAATGATAAAGGATTTTTCTATTTTGTTATAAGCGAGATGGTTGTAAAGCCTGTCCCATCAGGGGATGTGTCTCTGGGTGTTGCCTGTGGGCAAATCTTTCCCAACGTGAATCTGAAGCGAAAAGAAAGCTCTCTCTCTATTTTGCATCATAGGTCTAGTTAAGAAGAATAAAGGAATGAAATGTTTGTCGTACATCAAAATGGTGACGGAAATTCTAAATAGTCATAGAAATAATACTCAATTTGGTGCGAAGGTTGTGTACAGAGTCAGACTTAACAGCTATGGTTAGGTTATAGGTTATTTACCTATACATATTTCGTGTTGGGGCCCTTAGCTATATATGCGCTGTTATGTTTAGTTAAAAATAGCTTTAGGTCATAGGAGTCGGGCAGGAATTGAAATAATTCGTCTCCTAAATCAACACCCTCCCACGAGTACTTTTCTTATATGCTGTCTGACGAAAATGGTTTCAGCTAATACCTTCACCTATCAACCTGGCAAGAGAAACGTTCCGAGCCTACTAACTAAAACGCCTTAACCAAAATGGCGCCGCCCATGTCCCATACGACCCACACAAGCTCATGTGGAACGTATGCGATATAGCTTTTTATATTCGATTTGGTTTTACTCCTATTGCCGCATGCTTGAAAACACACTAACTCGGTATAATTTAGTCAATAAAGCTTATTAAATCTTATCATACACTTTCCACTCTTGTTATTTGCGTGTGTTTCGCTAATCTGTTCTCCGATAAAGACTGTTAAACTGTTCATACACGGGCTACGGAGGGTTTATTACAAATCGTACAATGTCTCTTTCCCGGAGCATGAATTAGGCTGAAAACAATCGGGACTGAGATCGTGAACGTTCTACATGTTCTCACACGAAAACGCAAAAAACGGATTGGGTAGAGAAATAAGTTTTTCTACAGTTCCGTCCAAGAAGAAGAATCATTCCTAATAATACCAAATGGTACAGTCGTTATGGAGACGGAAAGCCTTTCAAACAAAGGTTGAAGCCTGAAGTCAGCGCATCTGTTTCCCCGAAGGCACTGATCACCGCAAATTCTATTGACGAAAACTAGCTAATCCAACAACACACAATTAAATACACATATATATATATATATATATATATATATATATATATATTTATGGGTATATTTCATTAGCAGTATCATAAAACGGGATTTCTTCCAGGCTCGATATTGAATTTTTGCAGTCATTCATGTACAGTTCGGTAAAATCTTTTCTAGTTCGATCCAAAAGAACGATCTATCTCTGTTACACAATGTTCTAGTAGTAGAATCATTGAATAAGAGTCTTCTATTACCATAGAGCTCTTTTAACTCCGCCAGAAGCAAACTGACTATGTAGGAACTCACACAATTTTTCGGTTTCGGCTTGAGCCAATGTTAAACGCTGCCTACCCTCGCTCGGTATGGAAGAATCCCCAAGATAGTCACATATAACTTCTGTAACCAGTAGGGTATTCCTATGGAAGTCTAGCTACTATGACCATTGCTTTTCCCCACACCATCGCAGGAACCTTCTAAGGATACTTTTTTGTCTGTGCCGCTACTAGAGCTCATCCTTTCGTGGTGCTCGTTGTTGTGAACCCTCTCGAATTCTCAGGGAAGCGGCTGTTCGTTCTATTCTCGTTAGCGACTCATTGCTAGTCGTAGCGCGAGGCAGAAACAAATCGGTCTACAGTACATGGGGACGCAGTGCGAGCGTTTGTTAGATTGACTGAATCACAAAATTTCCAGATAATGCCAAGCATACTAGAAACGCTTTAGTCAATATAGTGCAAGCATAAGGGTAATTGATGATGACTTTGATTTACTAAATCTATTTCACTCTGTTGTCAAAAGTGACGTTGACCATAACTGTTTACACATTAAGCAGGTAAAACCTCGTAGCGGTCATTTATGGAAGCTGAAAACGTTGTTCCGATCTGCTAGAGAACTGTATCAAGCAAGCTCAAATCGATACGGCTGGAAACACTAGGCCCTTGGCAGGCAAAAACGTGTGCCTTTCAGGAACCTATTTAACGTCAGATGCCTATTGCTTTGACATGTTTCGCAGCGAATCTTAAAAGGACAAGGCGTCCTAATATCCCCTGATTATAAGTGCAGAATAAACTGTAGAGTAATATATCTTTACTGTAAAATAAATAGTATCTTTCGTTTCAAAGAGTGCCAACTTTTGTATCATCAACACAATCGTACGACGTACACAGTCAGCCAACAAACTGGCAAAACAATGTATATATAACAAAGATCAACGTTCCCAACACTTGCGATCTAGCAGAATGGAACAGGTCTAGCAGCTATGGAAGCTTAAGATTGTAGGTATCTCCGTTTGAAGACCAATAAGAGCACGTACATTCCAAGGCGAACCTTTGCACCCGCTCGTTTGTAGAATACAATTAATCTGTTTGTTATTTATATAAACTAGTTGTTTAAATACCATCTGTTGCCGTACTCATATCTAGAACTTCTTCTATCTCGTATCATACAAATCTAGAACTTCTATAAAAGTGCACTATACGACGAAAAGTGATTAAGTAACTAAAATTCCTCTAAGTAAGAAACTAGAAGTGAAGAAAAAAAAATCTTACGATTACGTGCGAATATCCGAAGCCTAACACAATGGGTACAAAGACAAAACGCTGTAAACTTACCTCACGGGGGGTGAAAAGACCATCCCTGGATCTGTAACACAAAAAGGAACCATCGGTCATTAGAATGTAGGAGTTTGCATTGCAAGCCGAAAAATAATGCGGCAAATAACTAGTCATAGACGTGAAGATTTCATCTAGTTATATCGAATAGCTAAGAACGATGGCGTGGAACGTATTCATGGTAGCAGCGTCGAATCGAGATAATTTGAACGTTTAAATATATAATTCACTTTCACGCCGAACTCGTTTGCTTCGTACTGTACATGACAAGTGTTCCTTGAAGCTCGCAAGTGCTGCTACACCCTTTACGAGCATCTTCGAAGGCCCATTTGAAGGACCGACGAGCCTTCAAAAATACAGCTAAGCACAACGAGAACGAGCTACTGTTGGGGCTGATTATAGAAAGCTTTCAGCGAGCCAATGTCTAGACTGGGTGGATGAGTACCAACGATGCTTATCACAGTATACAAGGTACAAGTCTTTTTCGAGACAATGGCAAGATTTTAACTGAAAATATCCTGTGGATTCATCTACTATCGATTCAAAAGCGTTTTTATCCAGAGGTGCGGTGACAGCATAATTGCACAGAAGTACAAGCACATTGTAATCCTTAGAACTAAAGCTATTGAGAATAGGATAACTACTCCTTTGTATGGCACATGCTGGTCACGATCACTCACTAATATCAACTTCTCTATCAAATCACTGTACACTATTATAATTAGGGGCTTTAGGCTATAGATACATTTATGCAATCGGTTTTCTTTCAATTATAAGTTGATACCAGTGATATTGAAGGGTCAAAAATTACTAAGACTTAACAACGGACGCGTAATAGCACAGTAAATAAAATTCGACACTCCTCGGTCACTCGGTTCTGATACATATGAAAGTAACGTTTGCATAACTAAGGATAGGGAAAAACCTCGTAAAAAGTGAGCCTCGTAGAACTGTGTGCAAAGAGTTAAGGCAAAGAGAGAAAAAAAAAGCAAGATTTGAGTTTTTAGTGGTATGACAAGGCAGCTAGTGACAACGCACCGTCGGTTGGCCTGGAGTTCGTTTCTGTTCGTTAGAGCCTCGGATCTTGCCTATATCTCTTTACGGCACAAGCACGGAAAAGCCCTTTCCGGCCTTCTCTCCACCCACCAGACAACCACTGACGAAAGAGGTGCGCAGGACTGCTAGCTAAGGTAAGCAGGCTGCCTGTCTGAACCGGCTGGAAATCTATGATAACCAAGCCTTGAAGCCGAAAAACACGCCCGGTCTCTCGCAAGATGCGGCCTATTATGTCCTGCTGTGTCGACTGGTTGTGCGCCACCGCTCTGCTGCTCTAGCTGCTTGTTGCTTTCTTGCAACATATTTTGCTGTGTAATCACGCTAGGCCTCGTGCCGGTAGCCATCGGTGCTGCTCACGACGCCAGACGGCTGCCGCAGTCAGTCGACTTACCGGCACCATTATAGACCAGCCTCCTTAGGCTTAAACCTAGAGTAATCACCGTACTAGTATAGGCCGAACCTAGGCATTGTAGTTAGAGTGCGTATTGAACGGTCGTAGACGACAGGAACACTCATACTCGGCCGCATCCAAAGAAGAAGCCTTGCGCCAGGCCATAGCCGAAATAGTTCGACTGAGTGGCAAGCGATGGCAGCAGCCGGGGATGATAATTATGTCATCAATGTTGCCACCAACGTGTTGAGTCATCGACAGTGTTATCCTAGTTGCCTACTTATATTTCAACAAAAAAACAAAAAACTTCTTCGCCCTTTCTGAGGGCTTTATCGAAGAAATCAGCATTTACTTGACTGCTGCATTGTATTTTCATTAACTATAGGTACACATCGTATTACTATTGTTGACCACTAGTTCAACAATTAATCATGGTTTCGTTCTGTCATATCAATTTAGTTTATATTTTTGTATCAAGAATTAAGTTTTGTATCAGAAATGTTTGTAAACTTCGAAATTCAACTTGCCTCAGGATTGTGATAGGGCTAAGTTACACTATACGCTGCCTCTTACGTGTGATGATATAATTAAATGAATATGGCTACCAAATAAAGCCTTAGTTTCCCAAACAAACAGAATGATAAGATATAAATAAACGATACAGCGTAATCCTTGTGTATAGTGACCTTTAACTTGAAGTGTTCGTACATCTTTTCATATAAACACGACAGCAAATCACTAGCAGTCTCATATAATTTTCTTCGGATCATTGTCGAACTTTCTTGGTAACATGCCCGAAGAGATATGAGATTTGATTGAAGTCCGATTCATTTCTCAGTTATCAGAGGAGCATGCCGGGCGTGCGAATTCATGTCGTGTTACGTGTTATCAGGACACCGGGCAAGAGCTTAGCGTCATTCTGATTTCGGAATAATCCGATCTGCTGTTACAAATGACGACAATGTGGGGGGGGGGGGGGCATACAGCGTCCTCTCTGTCACCGCCATAACTATGATCGTCAAAAGCCCGGAACAAATTCGAATATCGGTTTTGTGTTAGATTTTCTTTTTTGCTATAAACTCAGATCTTACTATCCCTACTAGTAATTCTCTGTGGGGTTTTAATACAGATTTATTCTGAAGCACACACTTCTAAAACGTATTCATAAACTAAGTAAATGTACAGCTTACAGGAAAGGTTACTGTTGACAATTGTGTGTATAAAACTTGTCCCAGTTTTGTTAATATCTGTCTTATCCGAGAGCTCTTCCAGATATCATCGTAATTAGCTTAAGATTCCACAAAAAGTCTGGCAATATGGACAGTGCACACACATGCATTTTTTCAAAGATATTAAAACACCCTAAAGCGTTTACGAGCACAGATACGTGCGCTATATAAAATGGAATTGGTTGGGTGTTTATATGGATACAAATTTGGTGACCTTAGCAGCGAGTGCGGCAACAATAGTGCTTCAAAACTACACCTCCCCTGGTGAAGTACCAAAAACACATACAACTTGGTCCATATCGCACTATTTAATTGCATGCTTTTAAAGCTGGCTTAGGCTTAGGCTTAGGTCAGATGCTTTCTTCAAGTTGACAATAGGCTCACGTTAGCTAAACTTCTCTAGCTGGCTTTACCCAGTCGTTTTGGTGACCGATGCCGGTCAACTTTGAAGCGTCTTTAACGTTGTACTGGTCTCGTCCAGGTGTTAGCTCGTGCTGATACAATTGCTAGCTTTTGTCTTGCATTGGTCAGGGTCACGTATAAGGTACCTCTCTCAGGTAATATTTGCACGCAAGGAAGCTGCTATGCGGGTGGCGTCCTTTTCCGTGCGTGTGGTTGTACTTAAGCTAGCACTTAATGTACTAGCGCTCCATGTATAATTCAATTTTAATATACTTGGAATTCAGTAGGGATCCAATGGAAGTTACAGGTTACTCCAAGTTATAATGCAGTTCAGAAAATGCGTTTTTCTAACATAGAACGTAATGATAAACGATAGTTTATGATATTTATATAGATATTTATATAACTCTATCTCCGTAAGCAGTCTAGCTCCCCATGGATACTCTTCCGAGTTGTTTTCGTATGTTTCGCATTGGATTGCTTTGTTGAAGCTGAGCTGATGTACGCTCCGCGGGTACCTTATTTCATAGAACGACGTGAGAATACTCAACGATCTGTTCCACAGAATATAGAAATTAACGACAACGTGTTGTTAATTTACTATAATAATCTTGTCAATAGAAACTCGCAGGTAGTTCGTAAACAGTATTGTTAGTGTACACTTCAGTTAAGTAATTCCGATTCGGAATCGTCTGATTTCGTCAAAAATCACAGATCTCAAATAACCCTCGGATTACGCGGCTAATTCGGATGTCTCTGTTCGGTTGGAATATAGACGTCTCCATGCGCATTTTCTGTCTAGTTATATATGGAATTTGATTTTCGAACACTTCCACTTTCTTACCCTTTTTCGTTCTGGGTAAATACCACCCTAGAAGGCTTCTATATGTGAGAGGAACAACGTAAAATCTCAATGTACTCAATGTACAACGACAAGTGCTGGCCTAAATTGCCAGACGTAATCTCAAAATGAGCTGAAACGTCGCTCTAGGGCACTTTTAACGATTGCTGAAAGCGCTAACCTATCGTCATGTAAATTCGCGCCCCCCTCAAGAAGATCCCTAAAACCTAAAACCGACGTTATTGATCATCGATGACGCGACAACTATGGCACCAGTTTTCCCTTGCAGGCGTTTTGGAAAGAACCAAATTATAGATGAATTGTCAATGTTTGATACTTTTAGTTAATATAATCATTTTATGTATTCCTCTACTTCCTTGCTTGTGATTTAGCCTAGCTTAGTCAGAAGTCAGAGAGCTATTTTTGCAGCGTTATTTTGTTAAAAGCGCAACTTTTCCAAAGGCGCGATCTGACCTCAGATAAAATGTCATTCTAACCAAAGCGAAGAATGACGTTCTGGCACCTTTTGGAAAACGAAAACGTAACATTCTAAAAAAGTCACCGAATAATTGACAGGCCAGGGACCTTTTGTTCCGTATTCGATCGTACCATAACTAGTGTAAACAATTTCACTTCTACTAAATGTAAGAGAAGCTTCTCCCGAAACAACAAAAAAAAAAAATTATATAGATATAGAAGGCCGGCCGGGAACTGTCAGAGATAAGCCTAAGCTGAAACCCTTTTGCAGGTGGTCCTGTCCCAAAATAAGGGCGCTTGAACGTTGACACATATAGCTGATGACTAAACCATGCTGCCAGGAGCTACAGCTTAGACAGTCGTGGTAAAAGAACCGCTCCGTCACCATTCTGAAATTTCTTGTTCTGAGGCGGGGCCTCAGGAGTTCTCGCTGGTGGCAAGTCTCTTTTAGATTTTGGTCATGAGTCGCCTATTCCGAGACGCTCGTCACCCGCCCACTTAGTCTGTTAAATGTTTTTCTCTCGGACAGAGGCCATCTAGCGGGCAACGACAAAATAATTCACGATAATGATCTCGAACGGTGTGGGTGGATCCTATTAAACACTTATTTTCAAAATCGGACTGATGCGAGATCTTATTTACGTTACTTATATACTTATTTATAAATTCGGAAACTGTTTACCTTGAATTTCAGCTCCTCCACTAGCCTAAAATAGATGCACGATGTTAACCACGAGAGAGCGCAATGGCAATACTACGGTAATGCTGACGATGAGTCCGAGTATGAAAAGTCTAGGAAATTTTATATTAGCTCTGGCTCGGTAAGAAATGAATAGCGGACGACTCTCGAGACGTGAACCGTTGTGGCTTTAAAAAAATAATTTAAAATCATTGTGCTCGTCTAGGCATGTGAGGTACGTTTGCAATATATGCGAATGAATTTTGCTGGCCAGCTCAGAAAAGTTCAGAATACCTAAAAAAGAAAGGTTCATTAAATTGTTCCTATGGTTATATTGTCCAAAGTACAATTTAACACCTGGCGGTACTTGGTTTAGAAGCCACCTAGCTAAACACTGAGAAATAATCAGATTCAGAGAACAATGAGGGACTAATCGGTGGAAAAGGGAAGGCTCAGCCCAAGGTCTCTTGCTTTTGCATGCCCGGCCTGGAAAAAAAACCAGCTATACAGGTATAAGGGCGGCGATATGAACCCGAGCGGACGTACATGTACGCGGATGGTCTCATTGCATTGCTATGCATCTGACTAGCTAAAACGGTTTGTTTTCCCGAGGCCTGCCACAAAGGAAGGCGGCCTGTTCGGCAACTTCGAAAACTCTAATATAAGGCAGAATTGTTGTCATATATATTTTCGGCTGCCTTTCAAGTTTTAAGGCTGACGTTCCACAACTGAATATCAATATACAAGCGTTAAAAGAAGCGTGTCTCAAGTCGATCACTGCTCCGTGTTCTGGAAATGGACGCATCGTTGCTCTTACGAAGGTCAGTAGTTTTCACAACGCAAAATTACGATATTGATTCATAAGATTGAATATATATATATATATATAGTTTCCTTTGATGTGAACGCTTCATTCGTGCAATGCGGATACCAAAAGAAGCTTGATGAAACGTTTAACATTTTCCAAATTTTTACAATCACACCCCTTTACAAAAATACTGGCAAAATCTTTATACGAAACACTTTTAAATTAAACGAAAAGTTGCATTATTGGTAAGTTAAAGAAAAAGCTTTAATGTCATATTCGCCTACATTATCGCTGAACATTGCTACCAGTACAAATAAATCTATCTTGCATATTTAGAAAATAGAAAAAATTATCGAAATTTTTAACCCTTATTCCGCTGCCAAGGCTCTAGCGTGAATAGTTCCCGCTATTATTTTGCAGCAATGACATGCGATGTTGATTTTTTAACGTATAACTTGGAACGTATATTTGAAACGAGTTCTTCCTTGGTTCTGCTTTTACCCTTTTTGCCCCTCTCATCAAAGTCACCTATCTATCTCAAATAATGTGAACCAGGTCGGGTCACTTTTCCACAGCTGAGAATTGACAGCAGTAACTGTGTTAGTCATACTTCCGATTGAAAGGTGACATTTTTCTAGAGATTTGTTATATTTTATAATTCTATTATACGGTAACGGCATAAATGCTGCCCAGATAAATGCTGCCCAGGCCAACTGATGGCCGAGACGTGTCATGATGCGGTTCAAAAGGTCATTTTGTCTTGAAAATTTTGATGGGAAGGATGCTCTTCGTAGGAGTCCATCAGTTACGGAAAAAAGTTTATGAAATCATTGCGGAGGTTGAGCAACACCGGCACTTCAGTAGCCATTATGCCGCCCAGAGACTAAACATCCACCATAGTTTTCAACTAAGTTGGCTAGAAATTTTCGGATGTCACACAAATTGACAAAATAGATTGTATTTCCCCTTGCCAAACCCTATAGAAACGTGGCGACACCATCGAGACGACAAGTGGATCGCGCGCAACAATAATTTTTACAAAAAATCAGGCAAAATTAAAAGAACCTGGACGGGAAACTTTATTGTATTAGCCGTGCGCCATTAGACTGTTATCTACTTCGGCTTCCTCAAAACTCCCTTGGGGGTATTAATCTAATTTCAGTAAAGGGATGTAAAGAAATCACTTGTTATAACTTTTCGCCAAAAAAACCTCTAAAGGTTTACAATGGTGGAATTATAGCGTGTCCGGAAAACTGCGGGACGTCCCCGATAAAGAAAAAAAGCACGCATATTTAGTAATATAGAAATATTTTCTTTAACTAAGGCTGAAAACTTCGAAATTTTACGTTTTACTAAATACGTTTTCGACAATCGATTGGTATTCAATTATGAAGTAAGGTAATAGGACTGTAGTGTTGGAATTGGCACAGGTATTACTGATACGCATGTAAGATAAGAGATTTGCCGATTGATAACAGCGAACGTGAAAATACTGAGCTGAGATAGACATAAAAATAACTTATGTTACTGAATTCGTTGTACGAGCACTACATAATCGTATTGAATCGTAGAAAATTGAACTTAGTAAGTATTGTGCACTAAGGACACACCTTTAAAGAAGTTGACATGGACAAGGCATGATGTGATCACGCTGCCAGCGACATTCGTGGCTGTGCACACATATCTGAAACGAGCAATGTTCTTAGATTGCACATTACCGTAAAGCCTTTTTTCAAGCCATTAAATCTCTGTACCTAATGTAGATATCATAACAAGTATCCGTGTACGAACATTTGAATTCATAGGGTCGTTGTTTGCTATAGCCACAATCAGTAGCCTCGTTTAGTGTACGAAACTTCTGGTTCGGATCTAGACATTGAGAAAGATGGCTATCAGGGCACGCTTAGTTTTCACATGTGGAAAATTAACTGGGTACCACGTCGATAACTCATATAACCTTGTTTTAGGCTGACAATGAAATTGCCGGCTAAGCTTTTTGTAATTCAGTGGCAGATATTTCGTTACATGAAAACAACTCACGTACCTTCCGGAGTCTTGTGGAAACACATAAGGTATGGTCAGCCTCGCTATACCTGAGTCAAACGATATTTGATGGTCAGGACCATTCGCGAGAAGCATATTATCCTTGAACCTGTCAACGATATAATCCATGATACTTGAGTTTTTTTTTTTGTAAGCATTTGTTATCTAAAAAAAGCGTCTACTACAGTTTGGCGATTCCTTCGCAGATTGCGATTTAGCAGGTAGCGTGCGTATGCACTTGATTTTTGTTAATAGCAACAATGATTTTGTTCCTTTTGTTATCGTTCTTTTACAACTGGGTAGCAAATTCTAAAAGAGAGAAAAAGTAACTTGGAAGTAAGTGACCACCACGAATACTCTCAATATACGTCCAGGCTTGACGTGCGTCATATATGGACGGCATCGCCTAATCGAAGCGAACACTGGCGATCGTTAACTTACTGCACCTAGACATATGCCTATTCAGGCTACAATGGCCAAAATCATAACGCATTGACTTTCAAAAAGATAAGATTCTTTTTCAAACTAAAACGTGCACAAAATATCTGGAGCTAAGAGCTTACCAACGAATGGTTGGCATGGGACATCCTTCGACAATACATGTCAGAGTTATTCTTGCACCTTTTCGCTCGAGCCTATCGACTAAGGGCTGCAGGAACCACGGGGGACGAACCTGTATGCCGATCAAAGGAAACCATTCTCCGTCTGACTATGATTTAGCGTCTATCTGTTACCATATAATATTTTTTATTCTAGTACATGGTTTATACTGACTTCATGCCACTAACGAAATAGGGTAAACTTCCGTCGGTGCTCTCTAAATGAACACCTATGGAAACATAAAGCGATATCGAGTGAACTTCATACTCGCCGGTAACTAAAGAGTAGTCAACTTTGCTCGACAAACTTCATTGGTTTATGGTCACTGACCTGAGAGGAATGAGTTGGCTTCTCTTCGATAATCACCGTCTTCTTTTTGCTAACAGGCGAAGGTGCGCTCTTAATGATACCGCGTGGTGGCCAAGTCTGCGAAAGTTTAACACACATGCCTATCATCAACAAGCGCATTATTTCAATATATTACATTCTACATATGTGAAAATCGCCTGCTAACAATGGCAGCGGTAGCAGCTTTTGAATTGTCCTATCATTATTCACGGATCCTTGAAGGTGTGTTAAAATCTACGTGCGTTCTCCCCTTTACGGTACACACTTCGGTGTTTTTAATGTTTAGTAGATTAACGGAAGGGTTAATAAACATTGTAGCAAATTGAAGTACACTTAACTCATGCAATGTTGCTCTTCGCTATCTGACAAAGTCGTCCTTTGGATAAATCAATTTCAGAAACAGTATCGGTAATAGCAACTACCAGATTGCTCCTAACATTGCAACATCACAACTCTCCTAGGTAATAGATCACAGTTTGCACTCTTAGCAATAATGCGCAAATTTTAAGTTTTAACTTCTACCGCTAGGCCCATAACAGGCTAACTTCGGCATTCGCATCACCGAAATTACTTTTCGTACATCGGTCGATTTTCCCCCTAGACTTTCGACGCTAGAAACTTGATGAATTACGTAACTATTCGTTATATAAGTTGTCTCGAAACCAACCAAATGTTGCAACTACTCTTCATCAAATGTACTCATTTTTGCTCTCTTAGACTTAAAACTATCCAACATATTACATTTCAGTAGTAAAAAAAAAAAAAAAAAAAAAAAAAGCCCAAGTAGTAAACGTATGTCTTCGTCGGGAATCGCAAAAAAAGGCCATGCTGCTGAGATAAAATTTCATTTGAGTCAACTAATATCAAATCTTCATAGAAACCGTCATTGAACCAGTTTTTCTATTTTTACATTTTACAATTGTTACTGAAGGGTTTCATCAACTTACTGAGATAAGGCTGAATACAAGGACCTGAGACAAACAACAGGATACTAAGGCAAGAACTCAAGACTGCTGTGAGACGTCTAGTTCATCTCTAAGAGTCGATTATAGACTTTTCGTCGCCGCGAAAATTTGCGGAGGTCTCATCAAACAGCCTTGTGTAATCCGTGCGCTCCTTTGACGGACCACAATGCTAGATCGTATATTGCCCTAGTGAACTTTGGTCATGCAGCGTCCTTACTTGTGAGATATACTTGCATAGAGCTTTCACAAGACCGGACTATATAACTCAAAGTTCGTTTGGATCAGAATCGCTACCGACAGACGATTCTTTTGCAATATTCTACTATTCAACGATCACTTGATCACAATGAGCTTTCGCGCCTAAAACTATGTAGAATTCTAGGTGTAACGTTATCACATCTACGGTACATATGAGACCTGCAAATCAGACCTTCAGGATAACCTAGGATAGTGCTTTTAGGCTTGGTACACCCTCAAGACAATGACCGTACATAAAAGTATAACTATAAATTCAAGACACTGGTTAGTTGCTGTATTTTATTACACAAACATTTTTATAATTTTACCAAATAGATCTCCAAAACATTGCATTTTAACACACACACACACACACACACACCCCCATAGGGGCATTCAGAGATATTTCTCGTGCTTAGCGGGTTTATACTGTACTACGCAGAACATTTTACCAACTGCTAAACGAATTTCTGTGCATTCTGATTGTGGGAAGTATCAGGATTCTGGTTTAGCATATTACGGACATTGGTTAGTTTGAACACGCAACAAAAATGATCACATCAGCTATTTTTGGCAAACATTTACCACAAACTTGCTGGAAATACAACACATTTTCAAATGGTGACTGCTCCATGTTACAGGTAAGCTCATTTACCAATATTACTTAATACATATATATATATATATGTATAAGTAAAATAAACACTAAAGGTTGTCGGTACACACATCGTTTGCTGACTACCGTACTATATGGCTCATAACAGGGTTGGGCTAATGTGTGGGTTCAGTCATCCCGCCCATAATTTTTAGCGTTTGCAGAAAGATGTCTCGTTCAATTATTCTATTGTACGCATTTGGGCAGCTCTCTGCTTCAAATAGCTCCTTCGTTTCCTATCTTCCGTTACCTGCTAGAATTCAAATGAGAATTTCGCCTCTCAGGACTGCAATTGTCACCGTGTAAATTTGTAGGCCTAGATTCATCAGAAGATGTGTAACTAAGTAGATCTCTAAAATATACCGAAATTTCTGTTAGTGCTTCGTCATTGATTTTCTGTTTGTTGATATCGGCGCCGTTATCGCCGTTCGCAGAAACCTTTTTTGTTAGGCTAGAGCAGGCTGGACGAGCAGTGCATACCGCTTGAGTTTCGGTCTGCATCGGACTGGAGAGCTCCTCAAAGCCACTCGTAAACAACGAGGTTTTCGTTCCGCAAGCGACACGTCTATGAGGCAATGTACAGGGCGCCTGGATATGCCGACTCTCTTCTCTCTCCTTAAAGTTCGAAATCTTCTCTGATAACGCCATACGGATATCGTCTCGTCGAGAGCTCATGGTTGTGTCTACTTTACGCTGGGCGAGCTATAAAAAAATGTTGAGACTGCGTCATTGGAAAATCTAATCTCAATATAGTTTCTTTCGTAGCCGACCACAAAAGTGCAACAGACACACTTTAGATAGCTTTCTTACGATTTCGAACTTCGATTTATTTACTTATTTTATTAGCTGAAATTTCAAGGGGGCGGCGCAGAAAAATCGTATATATAACCAAGCTAATTTCTTAATTATTATAGTAGTTAATTCTGACCTGATGTCGTGTAAAGAGACTGAAATCAGCTGACGATGACCTCGTGAGATTCGTCGACGGTAAAGTTTGGTAGACGGGTTCTTGAGTAGGAAAGGAACTTGGGGCGGCTGGAGGCGGCTGCTGTCGTCGAGGGGTGACTGTGGCACGTTGCAGTTCTGTCTGGCTGATCGCATCAACGTGGGTTTCGAGATGCACGAATGACGATGTATCTCTTGAAATCTGTTTCAATCAAAAATGTTTCAAATAGCTAAAGATACGAGTAATACGCCAGTAATACAAAATGCAAAGCTACATTATGTACGCACGTTTTTTTTTTCAATCCAATTTCATCGGCTTCGGAGTAGTGATTTTGAGACTCTATCTAATACAGTGAAACTACTAAGATCAATGATTATAACTACTGGTATAAGCATGCACAATTACTTTGCTATCTGTGAAGTCACGAAAGGAATATTGTCCCTTGGCATTTTGAGCGTTTGAGAGCATCGCAGCTGGTTTAGGTGAAGGGGGAACCACCGGCTGAACAGGAGCGCTTGGGGGCGTCGCGTCCGACATTGTTATAGACACGGTTGACACTTCGTCGGTGCGATGGATCACCGGTAATGATGGAGTCACCTGAATCAATATAAAAAAGTGTTTAGAGCGTGAAAAAGTTAAAAGCTAGCTGAGCAGAAAACTCAGTTCTGGACCACATCTCGGTTCAAGCGGGGGCGTGAGGCCACGTCGCGAGTAAAATATAGAGCTCGACAGAGTTGCGTCGTGTAAGGTTTACAATTCCTTTTGATAAAATTACTTCAATAGGTTTGTACAAAATGTTTTTTATATATCTTTATACGACATCCAGTTCTGTTCCTAGGATGCAAGCTACCAAGCAATCATAGAGTAGGGTCAATGTCCAAATCAGTCTCTAATGCCGGTGAAAAGGTTCCCATTCTAGTAAGCATAGATGAAGCAAATAATACTGGATTAGGTAAAGACATCGTAAAGAACATATGGACCTGAATGTTCTCGTTCATATCCCTATCGTTCGTGGTTTCAATATAAATAAGAGAGTCGTCGCAGATTCAGTCTCTAAACAGACCTGTACGGGGGGAATAGGCGGTGCTGAAACAACTTTTGTATGCTGGTCGACGTAAACAGAAGTCGATAGTGGTTCCATCTGACGGGGAGTCGAATAGTCTTGCTGACTCACGATGCTTGTAGTGGTCTATAGGAAGGAAACACAAATTGCGGTTAGATCTCGCTTCGAACCTAAGAGTGATCCCCGAAGGCAGACTAGTGGTAAGAATCTATCATATACATAGGTATTCACGAACTTCTTAAAAATTCATTCGTCTTAGCTTCCCTAGTGAACAACTTAAAGTTCTTATTTTTTCTAACAATAAGTACTCCTCGAGTATTATACTTTTCGTTTACTATTATTATTGTTATACAGAGCAACTAGCCTAGGCTTACCTGATTGTCGGTAGGAGCCTTTCGCTTAACCTGTTCCGTAAGAAGAACGTTGCGGTCAACACTCTGAGCCCCTTCAACCCATTCGGCCGTTCGTATGAAGCGTTGGACAGACGCGGGAGTTGTGTGCAGTGGCAGGCCCTCCGTAACCTGCTAAAAACGGAAAAGGGAAATTTAGTATAGCATAGCACACTAGGCAAGCACAATTACACTCATAGAACCAGACGTGGTATACTTTTGCTTAATGATTCCTTTTTTAAGGTTAGCTCGACAAAATTCATGTTCTTAAAGTCGATTTCAAGCAGTACGGCCTTGCATACTCATGTATCTGCCAACAACACCCGAGATCAGATGTCTTACTGGCTATAGAAATACGGTGATGTTTTAACATAGTTTAACGATAGACGCGAACGATACGGTAAATTTCAACGTTTCCATACCAATAGTATCAGTGAAAATATAATATTTCGGGTAAATATTAGATTTCACTGCATTGTTTAACGGATATCTTACCTTGACTGGCTGAAACGTTTTGACGGGGATCTGCGGTGGTGCAGCTACAGGAGTTGTCTCAGTAACCTGTAACAGGAGCCATTACGGTTGATGTATCTTTTAATAGAGATCTCGCTACGTTTAGGTTTAAATTTATTATAAACGTCTTAGTAACATCGATGGCCGTTCGAGCATCATACGTCAGGCTTCTGCGTCTTTAGATGTACTAGTACTCCGATTCTATCGTCTTGTATGTGTTAGAGCTAGAAGCAGACGTCGACATATCTTTGCTGTTACGTTTCAGTCAGGCCTACGTTGAATGCCAGTCTGCAGGTTTCATCGAAGATATAGCTCATTCAAGAAAAAAAAAAGATTACACAAAGAGGCTGTCTCTATGTGAAGACTGTACAGATAAAGTATTTCCGTTACTTTTCCTCACTGCTCTCTTCAAGAAGATTGATCCGCCAGTGCGCTAGGTTATTTATGCTCGTGTATGGCGAAATTAATCATTCAGACAATTCACTATTGCTTTTAGCGTGAAAATGAGGTACATGTGTGTTGAATGAAGTATGCCGTGTTGATTGTAAACGATATCAAATTTTTTTGATTTACCATAAGAACGAATAATTCAGTTATTTTTTTGAGGCTGTTTATACAAAGCGAAACGGCTCGAAAAAAAGAATAAAGCTCATCGTAAACAAGCATTACGAAGTGCATTACAAACAATATAAACAAGCATTACAAACAATTTATCGTTTCTGTTTGTCACTACAAACGATTATGTAGATCGCAAATTAAAAGCTACGATTAACTAAACAACATTGAATATGCATGTTAGTACGATAAGATGATGAAAAGCGTAACGTAAGCCTCAAATCATGTACGTTTGTTAAGCACGAAAAAAACGTCACACATAATAGTTCATAAAACGACCTGTATGTTAAAGTTTTGATCGAAACGACGACTGTCAGAAGCGCTACGACGAACTTTGCCTCGATTATCTTGAACAATCCAAACTTTGTCTTCCGAGGAAGAAGGTATGGGTGGGGCGCGACAAATATCCACGATCTGATTTTAAACCGAACGCCGATACCATTTATCAGATTTCTGGTAAATAACTTATTTTAAAAGCGCAATCTTGTTCGTCAGACCAATGATCATGCTATCACGACTGAACTATAAAAATTGCCTATATAAATCCTGACGAGAAACTTATAATCCTGCAAGCGTTTGTGCATCTTGCATTCTTCGTCCTATTATTAACCAGAGCGTTGTAAGTTACTTCAATTGATTGATTATTGTCAATCTTACCTTGCTGATTGACGAGTAGGTTTTGTCTACACAACGAATGCTGGCGGGCGGAGTCACAGATCTGCAATGATTGTTTGAGATGTCTACCTTACCTATTTTCTATTATTAAGAAAATAATTAGAAATAATATAAAACAATAAGACACTCCGATGGATAAAATGATTCAACTGGACAGATTTAGAGCTGCATTTTCGCAGCGAAAAGTCAACGTATTTGGGCGCAGTGCAAAATGCTAACGTTTCTAAATATGATAACCGTAACCCCATATAACTACAGATTGACTCATGGTAATACGGCATACACAACTTATTACTGAACAACTATTTCTAGGCCTCCTAGCGCTGACAAACAGCGAAATAGGGCATGACCAACCTGAATTGACGGGTTTTGTCTTGCACGCGACAGAGGAGGGGCAGCGATAGAGGGACCGGCCTCGATACCTGTTTCTCCTGCAAATCCACATAGGACAACTGCAGCAGAAGAACAAAGATTTACTAAGAACTGAAAATATTAATTTATTGGAAACAGAAAGCACACGTTCACGATGTTATCAAAAGAAGTAGACTATTTCCGAATTGTCAACTCCGTGCTTACAGTGACAGTTGTGTTAAACTGTACATCGCTGATTAAATTTGTCTCGTAGTATTCAATAGAAATTATGACACACAGTTTTAGAGCTTAGATAACTTGGCCAACTTGAAGTATTTTAGAGGTATCCCAATAGTACGAAAAATATATGGTGGCCTTTTGTGATCGTCTTGTATTTTTATCAACTCCGCGCTATACCGTCTACACTGAGCTGTCGTTATATACCTCCATGAGAATGAATGCAAGAAAATCCAACCTTGCTTGTGTAGATTTTGTCAGCGGAGTCGGTGGCCACACTTTTTACGTTGGATGGTGTCACAGGCTGTTTCTCGGTTAAATTCACGCAAACCGTTGTATTAAGCCTCCTGCCATCAGTCACCTTATAATATCGTCAAAAAACAACCGGTACAGTTACTGAAATCAAACTAAAAAATTCGCTCCTCACTCAATAGGCTCGTGTTGTGGTACCAGCTTTCCCAAGGCTTAGCAACTGCTATTCGAAATTATGTAACTAAGTCTTGGCTAGTAATGAGTAAATGATCTTAAAAAACTACTTAAAGCTAATAAAAAGTGTAGTACCTTATGGTCGACCTCTTTAATTTGACAGATGGGAATTGGAGAAGGCAGTCTGCTCCGTGCTAAGCAATCCTCCCGAAGGTCAACCAGCTGAGTCTATGAAACGCAAAAACTAGCTGTACTCTCACTGAGAAATGCATAGGCCAGACTTATTAAGTCATTGCAGATAATATACACAGAGGATAGGGCAAATTCTTACTTGATCGCGGTAAGTCTTGTCTGTTTGATGGACGCCGTATTCACGAAGTGTACAGATAGGCGTTGGTGATGGTTTTCTTTCGATGTGAATGACAGAAGAGGTCAAATTCAGGACATCAATATGTTCTGGGGGAGGCGCAACTTCTTTACGATGGATATCCACCTCCTGGACGCGGCACACTGGTGAGGGGGGTAGCACTCGTTTAACCTGACGTGAGAAAATAGGTATTTTACGAAAGCTTTCAGATCATTATGCAGACACGAATTATTATACCATCAAATGCAAGATTATGCATTCTGAAATGAAGCCGCCTTGCGATGTACTATCCAAGCGTAACCACATATATTGTATTCAGTGGGGGATTTAGAGAGCGGGCTATTTCACTCTAGCGAGAACTAAAGGTAACTTGTAAAACGTTTTTATTAACTTCTATCAACATTGTGCAATAATCGAGATTTTCGTTTTATGGACTCTTTTTATACCTCACGAATGTGTTCCTGCAGGAGACATGGAGAGACAGATCGCTGCCGGCGGGACTCTTCGACGCGCAATTCGCTTTTCTCGAGTCGGCAAAACGGTTCTGGACTGGGCTTCCTTAGCGGAAATGGCGGCTGGCTGAGATGGCAAACAGATACTACTGGTATACGCTCCGGGGGAAGTGATGGCGTCCGAGTCTGCTTTAGTGCACATGAGCATTTTAGGCGAGCTTTAAAAGTTATTCCATTATTCTATTTGCTCGATAAACTTGAGTCAGTAAATGCTAGAGACATACTGTTCAAACGAGATACCCGTGGATCACAAACTTTCTTACCCTTGTGACGACAGTTTTGCTGGTTTCCTTATAGTCCTTGTAGAATTTAGTGATGCCTTCTTCAAGATCTAACGGCCTTGTCTTTTGGAAGACCCTAGTCACGACATGAAACTCGGCTGGTCGATGCGGCGTACGCGATGGAACTGGCGAAGCCGCAGGCGGTAGAACGGGTGGCGGTGACCTCGGCGGAGACTGTAGTTTGCGGAACGATTGCTCAATCAGCATAGAACGATCGTCACTAACCTGAGTTGTCTGTCTTTCACATTGTTCGATCAGGGTGATCTTTTTGCATTGACGTTGAATACGTTCCATTTCCTGTTGGCGAATCGCTTCGTAAGTTAGCATTTCGTCCCGAAACTTTGGTGGCGGTGGTGGTCGCAAAGGTGGCGAAGCCCTTTTAGGTTTTACTTGGGAAGGTTTTATCTCCGGCAGCTGAGGCGGTGGTGGTGGGGGAGCCGGTTTAGATTCGGCTACGACCTTTGGTTGCTGTTTCACCAATTTTTTAGGTTTGGGCTGGACTGGAGCCACTGGCGATGGAGAAGTTTCGATTGGTTTAATTGGCTTCACGATCTCTGGTGTCTTCCTAGTTGGCTCGACTCGTTGTGGGAGTGGAACAAGCGGTGGTGAAGATATCATCTTTTCTAACTTGAGTATCTGGGCTGTCTGCTCAATTTTTCGCTCAGACATGACCTACAAAACGTAGACAAAGTTATAATATACGAAATTTTTCTAGAGCCTTTTATGTGCATTACGACGTATTGATTAGCAAGTTAGTAATGAACTACTCTTTAACACACTGTTATGGGTTACGGGTTCCTCTAAACGACTTGCCTTCGTAGCAACCGGAGGTTGTAGAGGCGGCAATGATTCTGGCAACGGTTGTGGGGGCACTGGAGGGGTGAGGACAATCTTTTGCTGCTGGTGAATCACTTGCTGTTTGATTTGTTCAATGTCCTGCTGTTTCACTTCGGCTCGTTGTTGCACCCAGGGAGGAGGCACTAATTCAGGGGGTGGCGACGCAATGGGAAGTGGTTTTGGTTTCGTTAATTCTGGACGTGGGGGTGGGGATTTGGGTTGCTGCGCGGGTTTCGATGGCGGTGGTGCAGGTGTTGGCGCAACAGGCTTCGACAGGGGCGGCTGCGGGGGTAGCCTTGGAGGTAATTCGACTCGATCTGATGAGATTGGCGTCGGGGTCGATGGCAGTGGTGTAAATATCAAATTGACTGGCTCCATAACATTGGGCGGAACGAACTGCTGTTGACGCCGCATGATGCTCTGAGAGATGTGTACATGCTTTTCCAAACGGTGCTCTTCATCGACTCGCTATTAAAGTGGACGGGATTGTGCTTGTTAATGTTCATTACTAACTTCTAGATTTGCATACATTTGTTTATGTATAAACCTACCTTATTGTTGGAAAATCATGCCAGCAAGATATTAATTCTATATTGTACTGAGCACGAGCTGTCGCTGCATCGCATAGAAACGAATTATGCATGCTTGCTGATATACGAAAATGCCGTTCAGGCCTTCCTTGCACGTGAGATAATGGAGCCCCTTGACAACAGGTGTTGATTGCAAAGGTGAATTACCTTTGTTATCTGCTGCTCAGATTCGACCTTCACCGGTGGGGGTAGAAGCGGCGGTTCCTGGATCTTCGTAGGGTCGACAGTTGTTTTAATAATGGTCTCCTTTTGCTCACTCGTGTCTTTCTTGAAAAGCAAATCAAGTGAGGGAGGTGGGGCCGGTGCGGGAAGCGCAGGAATCTATGCCGAACAGTTAACCCAATACACAAAAATAAGACAAGGCTTGCGACTAGAGGTCCGATAATCGTAGAGGTATATTAAACGCGTATTCCATTTTAAAACCCTAGAAATAGGAGCAATTGAACCATAAATTACGATAGCTACTAGTTAGGCTCGAACTGAATTTTTAGGCCAAGGTTAATAAATATTGTTTGTGCTCCAACAGAAATAGATTTTTGCCAATTTTGCATCGAAAGCTTTTGCGGTTAGCTAAGCCTTTCAAGTGCCTATAATATCGTCGTTGGTTTAAAACAATATATTTAGCCTAAAAATATATTATGCATTTTTTTTTTATATAATCGTACGTAATACCAAAAAATTAACTGGCTAATCACATTTGGTTTAGGAGTAACTTGTCGCTCGATCACTCGGGTCTGTTCACGATGAATGTGCTCTGCCTGAACCATCGTCATCTGTGAATAAGTCCCGTCGTTAGCTTATTATACTATGAAAGCTTATTATACTACTATACTACTAGAAAGACGTCGAATACTTTAAAGAACGTACGACAGGGAACTATCGTTGTCAGCCCTTCAACTTTGAAGATAAACAAATAAGTCTTAAGTAAGACAAATAAACAACTACGACTATACCATCTGACGAAATTTGCAAATACGTAACAAACGCTTTTAAAACTGTTCATATAGGTAATTATCGCTATATATATATATATATATATTCGCTAAGATCGCTAATTATCGGATTGTTAGTGTGTACATACGTTTGAGATAATATTCGGACATTTTTACAATCGGCGGCTTTGAAAATGTTTATTTTTACATATTGACAGGAAATAAAGGTCTCTTAAAGTAAATCGATAAGGTAAAAGTTTCTGCTTTTGTATTACATGCTATACCGTTCAAGTACTTCTTTAAGTTCGAAGTTGAACAGTCGTATAAACTGTACTGCGTAGCCAAAGGACATCTGAGCAGCCAGACCGTTATGTCTATGACTAAATTGCTGATTGATCGTTGTGTACCAAGGAAAACGCCAAAAAACAGCCTAAGTTCTTTAGTAAATGAGTGTTACAAGATGGTACGATTAAACATCTATCACCAAATGTTACTCTATGTTAATAAGTATTGGGAAATCGATACAAATTATTGCTAAATCTATGGGCGTTATTAACCCACGAGGACGTCACATGCTGTTGAGTCATACATACAAGTGACAATGCTGGATAAAACTACGGATAACAAGCAAAAACAGCATCCGATACAAACATCCGACAAGGTTATGGACAAAAATCAGGCTCAATGACTTAGGCTAATCTAGAAGTTTATTTTCAAATTTAAAAACTATTATCTGATACAACTGCCTGCTCCAATTAAGTAAACATAGTGCAAAGGGTTTACAGCCCATCGTATAAGCCACGCATACGAAATTACATACGTACCCAACAGGTCGATTTTTGCAGATGGAATTTTCGTACAAAGAACGTAAATTAATTTTTGTCAAAATATCTATAACGTATGTAATATCGACTTTATTATACCGCACAAACATTTGAAGATCTAAGATGTGAGAAGTGTAGTATAGTACCAAGACTATTTTAAATGTTAAATAACAATCCTTATAGCCAATTCAAGTTGACGGCAAGCTTAAATCGAAATATTCGAATTCCTTTTCTGTTTCGACTAGAAGGTGAGTACAAGAACAACTTAAAGCAACAAAAACCTAGTTCTAATATCGTAAGTTCTACAATTACGTACGCTCACGTATGTTCTCTGGAGCTTATAGTCTAGGATCGACACAAACCTTTTGAGGGCCGTGATTTTCACGCGTCCGATCAATCCCGGCAACACCAGTTTTGACCTTATGTGTCTGCGATAAGACAGGTTCATGTATTGTATACCCTGCCAAGCCATGATGCGATGTCTTCCCTATTTGTGATCTTGCCGGAGGCATGCATTTTTCCGGTGGCACATTTAAGGCCTTCAAAGGGTTGTCAGCATCTGTTTTTTCAATTGGAATCGAACTCTTCGGAATCAGACCGTATTCACTGGTAACGGTTTGTGTGTATTCCATTGCGGAAGCTTCGTCTGAAGGCTTAGCAGTAACCGTAGTTGTGTTCATTTGATTAAGTGCAGTTTTGATTTTGGGTGCTACAGTGTGTAGAGGATATAGCCTTTCTGGGATCTTCGAGATTGGCGACGTAGGGATCACTCGAACCGTAAAGGACTCCTCTCTGTCTTTTGTCTCAAAAACCTCAAACGGTTTTTTCTCAGTAACTTTGTCAGTCATGGAATTCACTGGGACATCATGTCTGGCCGTGTCCTTAAAGGATATTTGCTCGTCATAACGTCCGGGTATCCCTTTCGTCCGCTGCTTAGTGTTGTTTGTTTTTGAAGTAGATGGGGATGTTTCGAATTTAGTGGTTTGTATTCTCGGAGGCCCTAAAATAACTGTTTCCTGTCGGCTAGTGATCTCAATGTTATCTATGCATTCATCATGACGGCCAATTGTTTTTCCCAAACTCACATAATTTACGCTGGTGGCCGCTTGTGGCTTGTCTTGCGCCTTTCGCTGAGTATTGTTTACTATTTTACCTTGACAGCTCCAGATATCTATTCCGGAACTAGTCGACTCAATATCAGTAATCGGCCTCACCGACAGCTCTATTACAGGCCTAATCTCTAGGTCGGCAGCGTCAAATTCACACCTTTCTGATCTCCGAAACCCCGGAGATCGTCTAAAGGACATCTGTGTACCTTCATTCATAGATGTTTCATTAGCAAAATGTCCACTCGTTGGTAGAGCGCTTTCGTTTCCGGTGTCTATAAGAGGGATTTTGCGACTTTTTTCTTCTTCAGTAAAGGTTTGCCCCGATAGAGGTAATGATTTATCCCATTGGGGAAATACAATTTTCGATTTACTGTCTTCTGCCACAGTTTTTTCCACGTCTTCTTTGACGAGAGTATTCGTCTCCCTTGTACGTTGACCGTCTGCACTCTCTTCTCCAGCTATTGAAGTCTTAACTGAAACCACAGTTTCTCTTGAGACAATTGATTCCTCGACAGAAACTCTATTTTCGGTGGTCTGCGCAGTCCTTTTCGTACTGTGTTCTCTGACCTGTGTGGGAAGCGGTTTCCGTTTCGTAGTGCATATATCTGTTGTTTCGCTATACTTAAATGGCATGCAAAGTTCTGGCATGCGAACCGTTTCGATCAGTGACGTTTTGCACGTCTCACTTGTTCCACAGTTAGCCTTGACGGGTGCTAACAATTGTTCCTTCGATGCGCCTTTTTTTTCGGTCGCTCTATGTTTTAGGCCAAAATCGAATTTAGAGCTCGCCTGTTCTTGTGGCGTGCTTTTTACAGCAGTTTCAGTTTGCCTTGCTGAGGATCCAATCGTCATCAGCGACGTCCTTTCCAGTCCGAATTTGCCGTGCGTCTTGCTAATATGAGGAGATGTGCTCTCCTTGGCTGGGCAGAATTCAAGAAAAGTTACAGATGATTCGGTCTTACCGGTGAGGCCGTTGGAGAGTACGTGATTTTTGGGGGATGAGGTGATGGGTGATGTGTGGTTACTAGAGCCGGATGCCGGATCGGTCCCAGTGTCCGCCCCATGTGACTTGGCCACAACATCGCTAAACAGTTTACGCTGAAAGTATGCACAAGGAGCATTTGCATGCGCATCAAGTACGCCACTTCAAACAGATCTCGAAAGATATTCTTCGGTTTACGAAAGCCATTCAAGGGTATGCACACGCTACATAATAGAGTGTTATTGCAAATTTTCTTCTTAGAGATACTATTACTACGCATATACCATAGAAAACGCAAATTTAGTCTTCTCGTGGAGGCGATGCATTTACGTACAAAGTAAACATCATACAGGCACGTAAGCTATCATGCGCAAATAGGTTTGGAAAAAGGACGAACCAGCACAGAAATTAAAAGTCACTGGAGGAAGGTAAGTATCTTAATAATTTAACGAAGTAAAAACATAGTGTCAGACTTATATCAGAGCACATTGTTTATGTTCGAGGGGCAACATTTGTTAAGGACCCACGTACCAAATGGACAATGTTGAAAAGCTACGTTGATAACGATAAGGAGAGGCCGTCACTGCACCACTCCCACCTTATAATATTACATATGATGAGCATAGGTGCGTGAAGATCATTAATAAAGTTATGGTTGAATAGTTATATATTAGGATGACTCAAAGATACCAATGATTTTTCTTGAATACTAAAAACTCTAGCATGTAACACCCAGTGACCTCGTTCTATGGGAAACTTCTGACAAAGCCAGTGTAGTAGAACGCCCCAGCTCTCAGGATGCTTGAGATCGAGCTGTGAGATTAGGATTAGAAGTGGCGAATAGAAGTATTACAACAAAGATAAAAGAATAGCAGAATGAAACGCTATCCTAACATAAAAACTGATATAAATTCACAGAAAATGGCACACTAAAAACGTTAGTTTTTTACGTTAGTTAGGTACCGACCTCCATTTTCTTTTCGTCTTGAACGTGGTAATCCCGGATAGTCACCTGCGACATATAAAATAGTCACATATCTTGTCTTAGTGAGGGCAGTAATTTACTAATCTCATAATACAAACAAATCTCTTTTATGGTAGTGCGAACATAGCGCCATTCTATACATTAGCTGAAAGGCTCTACATACCTCACGCTCTTCTTCTGACGACACTTCATCTTCGACAAAGATATCAGCTATCGATTGAGCCTCTCCAGCAATATTTGTAGCTAAAACAGTATAGCGTCCCGAATCCGATTCTTCCGCTCGCTGCAAATACAAAGTTACGTATGTAACGGTGCAGCAGGTATCGACAAGGCCCATGGGGTCGAGGGTTGGGTTTACGAATGTGAAGTTCTTAAATAGTTGTTTCACAGGATGTTTTAATAGACTGGTTGTTTTTATTCATACTGACCCTTATAATAAGCGTGTGCTTATTTGCAGAGCTGCGGATATCATACTTGTTCAGGGTTTTTAGATCAATTTCATCCCGTAGCCATTTTACATCGGGGGAAGGCGCTCCGCTCACCTGAACGAATGATTAAGAATATAGTAAATATACGTTCGTTGAAGCATTTCGTACCGGTTGGGTCGCAAGCATACGAGTAATTTCAAGCTATTATATTAATACGATCACTAATTTTATACCCATAGCCCTGTTAGTACTACCTACCTCAACTTCGAGAGTAATTTCACTACCGGATTTGCAGACTCGCGCATCCAAGCGTCTCGTGAACTGCGGGGCTACACGCTTAGCTAGACAGTAAAATTTTTTTGCAAAAATAAATCGATAGTTAGAATCCATATATCGTAGACATGTATGTATATATCAAGTAGTTAGCGATAAATCATATTTGCAATAACCATCACTTACTTCGTTTCACAGGTTACCTCTGCTGACCCAGATACATGATACAGATCGGCAAAAAGTGGAACTTGCATACACTCGTGAAGTAAGTAAAACCATTCATATAAAATGTAATGCAGGAATAACAAATTTTCAACCCATAAATTTTGTCACTGTTGCTGTAAGATAGCTATTAACATACTTTGAATCACTACATCAGCTGCACTTGAGGAGCTACCCACATCATTGGATATGACGCACGTATACCTGAAAATGAAGACCTGGCGTTACGCTCATACAAATGCCAAGTAAAAAGTTCTTCCAACCGTGTGAAAATCCACCTTCGATTTTTACTCCCGTTCGATTATGCAAGCTAAAATAAGGATAAGAACAATCTCTTGAAGGAGATACTTTCTATCGATTCCATACTGGTGAGATAGCAAAGATAAGGTGCCAGCTGTGCAAGTACCTTGTAGCTGGCAGGAATATGTCGTTGGCTTTAGGGCAAAAAGCAAATTGCTAGCTACGCATAATGGGCTTCGAAGCAATTACCTGGCGTGATCTTTCTGCATGGCTTTGGGTATAACAAGAGAGGTGTAGCTCTTTTCAACAGTAATCTGCAAATCCGCTTTATGTGATAATGTAGTACTTCCACGGGACCATTTGACGATAGGCTCCGGATAACCTAGAAAAAAATATATGCCAGCATCTATTGTAACTGTTAAGCTATATCAAAATATCGTCCAAATACATACGATATCAGCGAAGCAGGACCCATTAAGACGTGGCCATCAAATATTTAAAGCAGATGTCAGCGTCCTGTTGTCCTCAATGAATTCAGCATTAGGTAACCTTTGTGAGCTGGCGAAACGCTAGAGAACGAGCATATTCTGTCGAAAAAATATAAAATATAAAGGATTCGCACTTACCATTAAACCAGCCTTCAAGTTTGACCTGCTCTCCCGCGAAGACAGCTACGCTTTCTAGTGGCTTACTAAATTTCGGAGGAATATGTGCTGATCCCGACCGCTGCAGAAGCGATAGCTGCAAGATTTAAGAGATATATATATTAATTTAATTAATATATATATATATTAAATAAGGTTCCTGGACAGAAACTTCAGCGCGATTTGTGAACTGAACGAAGATCACACCTCACATTACAATATTCGTCAGATTATCAGCTTTTTTTCATTGGCGTCGGTGGACGTCTTAGGCATGTTTCCCCTTACCGCCCTTCGCCCAAAGGCCCAAATAGTCAGAAATGACTAATGCAAATAAGACGTTAAATCTCCTTCACACATTAGAACCGGACATCACTAATAATTCGTATTAAAAAAAAAAAAGATTCAAGAAGTAAATCACAGTACGCACCTGTTTGGGCTCAGAAGTTCGAGTTGTTACATTGGTCGCCTGAGCAGCGAGTTCCGGCACCGATAGCACGGACGGCTGAGTGCCCTCGGCCGCCGGTCCCTCGATCTGTCAAGGACGCAATATCCGCAAGTGATTATAAGGCCTATAAAATATGACTGAGGTATTTTCTCTCATTTGTACTAGCAGAGCGACTAAGTTCTAACTTAGTCGATTAAGTAGCATCTCGCAAAGGGGACGCAATCGAGATGCGTGAACAAACGCACAATGACCGCCTGATAAAGCACGTTTTAAATTACGTTTGCATTGATTACGAAATATACCTGTTGAGTGTGACGCACTTGAAAAACATTTGTGCTAGCATAAAAAAAATCGGCCAATATTCCAGTAACCTAAGTTGAGAAGTTGAACGTAGGTATCCTTATTAAATACATAAAAGTGTACGAGTTCATAGCGTCAATCCGTTCTTCGTCACAGATGTCATTTCATATCAATCAAATCATCAATAAAGAATCAATCAGAAAAAACATTTATGAATACGATTGTCACCTAACATTCATATAATACCCTTGTGACATCTAGCGATGTTGCACCTTAAAAGTTTACGCACATGATAAAAGACAACTTCTAGTTTTCTACCACTGTTAGGTCGTAACCCATCGATATCTAGGTAGTTGACTGGCGTAGAATACTAAGCCTTGACGCCGGCTGGCTATGTTCTTCAGGACGCTGATGAGTTAGAAGCCAATTCACAAGGAATGAGACCCAGCACGGGCCCCAAGACTCTGTCGGTGACCAGTCGTCGTTTTGATTTCAACACTAAGCTTTTGTAACTAGACTGAATCATGTCTATTCTCACACATATATATATATATATATACACGCATCCATAAAACGTGTGCCAAAATCGAATCTGCTAAAGTCTGAGCTGGTACATGCTCAGGTTGTTGGCATCCTACCACTGCCCGCTCATCGACAGATCACTGACCGCGAGAACGCGAAAAAAATTTGAACCCAGCGGGTGATTTCTTTACGAGGTGCTCATGGGTACCAGTCAGCAGGAACAGACCACTACGGAGAAGCCATGCTGTGCGGAGTGCATGGCAATATCTGGATGAGCGATTCGTCGAAGGCTGATCTAGGATAGTCTAACGAAGTGGCCGATCATTTCTTGCATAGGTATGTATGCTGCTCGGACCATAATTTCCAAGTAGAAAAACATGCCGCTTTTGCTTACGTGTATATTTAAGCCCAAAGCCACAATCACTCACACACCACGTGACAGCGTTGTCTCCCTTTCTCAACCTGGGTCACTAATTTACGTTTCCTCTAAAGGACTCAATTTCGAATATTGGCTTTCAGTAGCCCTTAGCTCTACAACTTCACGTGTTAAAACTAGTTTAACGGCATGCGACAAGCCAGTGAAACAGTGTATTTGAGTCAGTCGCAAAAGTTCACGCGGAGTGATGAGTAAGCCGATATGTGCAGCCCTTCGACATAGACCGGCATTAAGATAGAACTCTTTGAGAATATCGCCCAAGTCTTACAGAACGTTTTTAAGTGAGTCGGATTGCGTTACGTATCGTACGGCAATAGGTGCTATTGAAATTAATGAGTAACTTCAGCAGGAGGTACGGGGGTTATGGGATGTGCATACTCTAAGTTAGTGGATGTTTGTGAATCGTGACTCTTTCAACGGTTTGACGTAATCTCCCAAAAATGAAATCGTCTAACTAGCATATGTAATTCTATTCCTGTTGGAACTTGTTGAATAGCTTAATATAGACAGGCATTGACGTGAAATACAGAATCGATTTCCCATAAATACATTGCCACCTTACGATATTTTTTCAGAGCATTGTTTTCATACTATTTATAATTTTGTACAGTAAAAATAGTATATTTTTTAATGTGCATTGCATAATACGGTATATATAGATAAACACTCACTGTGAGTTGTGTAGCACTTTTGCCCTTGTGTTGAATTCGATTGTCCTTGACTTCTTTGGTGTAGTAATGCTCTGGCGGGTTATCACCAACACGATCGAATCCGAATGACTCCTTCGAATGGTATTCGGATGGTACCGCGTCACCCAACTGATAACAGTGAAGAAAGCTATATATAATCAAGTGATGGCCACGTGAGTGAACTTGAGAGTTCTGCCAGAAGTTGTTGGCTTTGGTTACTTTTCGAGGCTCAGTTATTTCCTCTTATTTTAAATCCTAGTTTATTACATCAAATCTCGTACTCTTTTTTCTATTACAAAGGACCCGCAACAAATTCCAACTAATGCACGTCGTCCTGCTTACAGCAGGCCTTAACGGGGAATCTTCATACTCAACGGTTTCAGCCACTAGAAATAACGACTTTATTGACATTTATTAGTGCCGCTAGCTAATAAAATTTTCAAACTTTGTGGTTTAGGATGATCGAAACATTTCATACAACTTTGTGCCTACCTAGTCGAAAATAGGGATTTTTCTATTTTTATCAAGTCGGTTCTGTTTCAATGTAAGCTATGATTGGCATCGTTTCGGTATATACCTTTTCGAAGCCGTATTTTTCAGTCGTCGCTGCCTGATGCTCCTCAGAACTGACGAGTCGACCGTCGGCAGTAACGTTGCTTTTTGACGATGACATTTTCTGCATCAGCATTGTCCTCTTGGACGAGACAAACGATTTTGTCACATGTCTACGCGTAACCAAATAATCATATTTGATACGTACGCACGTTAGAAACAGCCTATATACATATATATATATATATATATATATATATACATAATCCCAAATGCTTTCTTCACAAATCATTATGTGCTGATGTGTTCGTAACGACTCTCAAGCGACACTTAAGCTTTGGGATATTGACTAATGCATTTAATTGTACCAATTTTAACTAAAAATCGATCGTGATCTCAGACAAATATTATCAGTTCATCAACAGCTTTACGTTAGAGTGTTGATACCCGTATGTTTATAATATACTCTATATAAAGCCCCATTTCCCCACATTAAGTGTAGTCTATGAATACGGACCTTAAAAAACCTCTTTTTATTGCTTGTATTTATAAAAAAGTATTACTGTCCTTTTTTGGGCCTGCGTTCAGTAAGCTAGTAGCATGGAAGCATCAACCAAGAGGCTAGTTGAAGGCAATTAATTACCGATCGCCCTTAGATTCTTTCTCGTTCGCTGCATGACCCCTTATTGTGCTTGGAATAGTTGTGTAAATGTTGTCCCACGATCCCCGCTTAGACGTTGTGGAACAAACAAAGAGCTCAATGACACAATCGGGGTACCTTGTACAACTGTAAATTGGCTCCTCCGGTTCTCCTAATGACTGATGCTAAATAGCTGATGGTCGAATCAAAAACACTACAAAATTGAATGTATGAAGATTAGGCCACCGATCCGTCGCTACACTCACGTGGACACAGCGTTTTCTGCCTCGGCCTGGGCCAGTACAAGTGCTAGGCTGTCTTCCGGAAGAGGGTCTACAATAACCCGACAAGAAGAGTGCTGGGATCCGAATGCATTGCGTACCTCCGCACTATATGGTGGTACAGAAATAGAAATAAATAGGAACAAATTAACTTGACGCTAGATTTACTTTCTATCTATTGTTTTTCATTAAGCCTAGTTGTTATACATGTTCCGTCCGAGGTTCACGATATTTGCATAGAGCTTAGGTGATACTGAGAAGCATTACGCATTTGTTTTAAGGTGGTCAGCGTAGAGATCAGCCTTCGCGTTCTGCCTGATACAAAATAACGCGACATTTCTAAATCGCAAAATTGAAAACAAACCTGTAAACGCCTGCGTGGTCAACTGTGGCGCGGGGTACATCTAAGATGTACGAGGTCCCGACGTGATCAAATATGTAATCGCCATCCAGGACGATTGGCCGGCCCTATCAGACAGAGACAGTAATAAAATAAGCTAATCTTAAGGTGCATATAAAACAGGTGGACTCGTTAGAAACAATATGTTTAAAAAACTGCTGCTTGTGAAATAATAGAAATAATTGATTTTAAGATAATTGCGTAAGTGGTGGCTTTTGTAACTATACTGATAACTTGTGAGGAAGCCGTAGCAGTAAATGAAGAGTAGACCCGGGTCAACTGAGCCACATTCGATGTTATAGTTCGATATGAATTTCGTTACCTGGAAACTCCAGATGACTTCTGGAGGAGGGTGACATTCGACGCCCAGGATAAGTTTGAACTTCTCGCCATGCTTGATCTGCACGTCAGACAATGGTTTTACAATACGAGCCGGTCCACTTGCGTTTTCAAAGCATGCTACCTCCATTGAGGTGCCTGTTGGAGTTCCAGCTCGAGAAGACGTTTCCGGCGCTGTCAATGATAATCACAATGTTTTTATTAGCATTGAGCTTATTCAGCGTATTCCGTACGTGGTGGAAAAAGACTTGCACAACGTGTTCCTAGCTAGGGTAACTGAAACTTAAACTTATTTTTTAAGTGCCCGCGAAACGCTCCGTTGCCAATTCAGTTCTAAGAGGAGCTTTATTAGGTACGTGCACTAGTAACACACATCTAATGATAAAAAATTGTGCATTTCTTAAGAACTGCGAATATAAATTTAAGCAACTCTCTGTAAATATAGTATTATCACGATTATTGGAAGCCACTGGCCATACATTCAGAACTTATCCATTTATCAGAGAACGTTGATCAGCGTTGCTTTCAATGGATGTACATCAACTTATCAACATTAAGAAAACTAACGTTGCCGTAAAACGATGAGTTTGCATAAGGAAGTAGCTTCTCCAGCAGGGTTGACAGCTTTGCAACGATAGCTGCCTAGATGAGATAGTTGAGCCGAGGAGATTATCAAGGAGCAATGGTCTCCCTCAAATTCGAATGTTACGTCCGAAGACTCCTTGATCGGTCTACCGTTATGGTACCTGGCCATTGAGACAGATTCGGATCACTTAGCATACCGTGCCTTCTAACGTGTTAAACTAGCAACGTAACTGAATTAATGAATATGTATTTTGTGCAATGCTCTACTGTATTAGATTGGCGTGTGCTTCAGACAGCAAGAATAATTGACACCATATTGACTGCAAACTTCTGAAAATCAGACGGGAAACGTGTGAAAATTTTCGAGTTGAGCACGTACCAGATCACCTCAGGTTCAGGTACACCTGTGATAATGCAATCAAGCCTCACGGATCTTCCTTCGTTGACAGTTTGATCCCGAAGACTCTTGCGAACGACTGGTTTTGAAAATTCCAGGTCTGAAGCTAGTTCAGAATCGCTGTAAATGTACAGGAAGCAACTATTATGTGTTCGATGTAACTGTCATATTATGAATTTATGAATATGAATCATTCATATGGAATTTCTACGAGTTCTTCTTTTAAACAACTCTTGAAAGCTTATCGTTTACCTACTTGTAAAAACCAATTGGGTTCGGTCTACTTTACATAAGATTAGTTCTTCAATTAGAAGATGACTGTCGCCATTCCAGCCTACCAATACGTTTCGCGTTCTCAGCCTGGAGCTTGAAGCATGCAACGCAAGTTGACTTCAATGATAATAAAAAAAACTTATATGATACTAATAAAGAAACATCAATTTATAATAAGCCGCTTTTAGGTCGAGCAAATAAAATATCTATAGCACAAAGTCTGTTAGAAGCTTCAATTCTATTTATTAGCAACTTAGAAATTTGCTGTTTGCAAAACGTGGTTAGCACGGCACACAGAAACCCAGTTTTTCTCCTATTCTATAGCACTTTATCGAAGCCTGCTCTACCTTGTCTCCGGCGGAGGTTTGTTAGCAAGCGTGACGTTGCAAGACGTGTAAGTCTCTCCTTGCGTGTTGCGTGCTAGCAAAGTGTAGATACCAGCATGACGAGGAAACACCTCACGAAGCTCAATGGAACATTCGCCTGATGACTCGTCTCGATAGATCTAGTCAAGAAGAACGTGTCTGTTTCAGTCGAAGATTACGCAGACTGCTATCACTTGGAAACAACAACCTTTTTTACATGTGTACTTTAATTAATTAATGATAAGTGACATTCAAATAAAAAGCCGTTTTTATTTTTTTTTTTTAGCTAATTTTTACGTAGTGGCCGTGTTACTTGAAAATGATTGCGTGCAAAGACAGTAAACTCGTCTCGATTAAAGCGATCTAACTTCACAACCAAATACGGTTCGTGGAAGAAAATTGGCAATAAGGATTTCGGTTGTTTTTTTTTTGCGATCACTCCTGCGCATATATATAATTTTTTAGGCATATCTTGAAACAAGATACAGCTCTAGCAAGATGTTACAAAAGGTCAACTTTCTCAAAACGACGGCAGACTGTGTTACAAACGTTTGACGTCCAAAACGACTTCGTAATGTGTTTGTTAAAGTATAAAATGAATAAGCTAAGTGTTATGAGACCATAACGCTTAAGTTACGAATTTTTGGGAATGAAAGATGCTCTTGAGGTGTGGATAAAATCATCTTAATAAAACTGACTTTAACAGTTAGTATCAGTCACGGCACTATTTTAATACCGTGACACATCAATACCCTTATAATTTTAGATTATCATGCAGACTGTGAATTATACCGCTAGGAATAATTTATCTTATGTCAAAAATAGCTACGTGTAACTCTACCGCACCCACGGAAGGTTCTGCCGGCTTCCTAACGGACACGACAGGTAAACACAATTTAAAGCTAAAGGCCAAAATGCTCTATGTAAGATAGCCGTACAGATTGGTTAGTTTTCTGTTGCTGCTAAATTTTCGAAAATGAGACAAATAAAAGTACGTATTATGCAGTCAAGACGTTTTCGTTTCTTGTGGAACGCAATCGGCTACCATTTTTCCCTTTAGGGTTTTTCGTACGTGTCGATGTGACGAGCGAGTCATGGAGATACGGAGTAACAATTTCATAGCGGGATCGTATGAGTTCTCAGCCTCGACTGGCGCAAATTACTCGTAGATAATCGGAGGAGCATCGTTAGGAGTGGGGCTACATCGGAAGGAAAAAGCAGCTATTTCGCTTTCAGGCTACTTGGGCCTAGTGCAGATCGAGTAGCAAGCAAATTTAGTATCTTCTATGGATTATTAATAACCACCATTCTCTGTGAAGAACATATGAAAGCTATATTAGTAAAATGTCAATGATATTATCATGGCATCATAATCTGTACCTGAACGTCTCGCGCATCGGCAAGATTTCTCGAGTTGTGAAGCCAAACGATAGTGGGACGAGTACCCACGACACGGCACGAGAGTCGAAGTGGTTCACCTGCCTTTACGGAAATGTTCGCCAATGGGCGCTCCAGACGGGGGGGCTCCTCCATCTGCTACAAAGAGCGATTGCCTCTTCTACCCGACGTTCCAAATACACGTATTAGGTTTTCGATTAAAGGCTAAATGTTACAATTTACCATTAGGGCATGCACTTGTGCAGTCTCTTTAAATAGCACTCAGATACATGCACTTATGTCAAAATCGTCCAAAGGTTAATATTAACATTAACGAGCAAACAAAGCGCCATATTTAACATGTCTCAGTACGCTACGAATCCCTTCATAGCTCCAAGTTGTTGAAGGACTCAAATGTGAACTTCGTGAAACGAACGAGGAGGCCGGCAGCAAATTTGAGACGTTAGACATATA